AAATGTGCAACCTTGACCTATACTCTAACATACTGCTTCCTCAGGTCTACAGTAGGGGTGTAACCCCGGCGTCCTGGCCAAATTTCCCATTGGCCCTTACCAATCATGGTCTCCTAATAATCCCCATCTATGAATTGGCTTCATTACTCTCCTCTCCTCCTCACTAATAGCTGGTGTGTGGTGAGCGTTCTGGTGCATTATGGCTGCCGTCGCATCATCCAGGTGGGGCTGCACATTGGTGGTGGTGGAGGGGTGTCCCCATTACCTGTAAAGCGCTTTGAGTGGAGTGTCCAGAAAAGCGCTATATAAGTGTAAGCTATTATTATTATTATTATTATTATTATTATTATTACAGTACATCCAAGTAACTCTAGAAGCTTACTTAGAGCTGCTCAACAAAGGAGCTAACAGGAACAGTCTTAAATGTGCTTAAAAGTGTCACAGGAACTTATCCCTAATGGTGTGACCTACAGTGACATTATGTTATAAACACTAAATAAACTCAGCATGCAAACCTGTATCAATACTCTGAAATCAAAGCAGGTAACTGGTAAATAATAAGCAACTTGACATAAATATGGGACCATGTTTTAACCAATGTTGACTACATTTAATTAAAATTCTGCAAGCCTTTACTTTCTGATATGGTGCATTGACCTTACATCAGGACAAGTGGACTTTACAATTACAATACAGATATGAATATGTTTCTAAATGCATGTGAGAATATTAAGTTCTCTGTGGCTAAGGATCTGCACCTGTGGCTGGAAGGTTGCTGGTTCAAATCCTGCAGCCGGCAGAGGAATCCTACTCCGTTGGGCTCCTGAGCAAGGCCCTTAACCCCAACTGCTCCAGGGGCACCGTACAATAGCTGACACTGTGCTCTCTCCCTGTCTGTGTGTCTCATGGAGAGCAAGCTGGAGTTTGCGAAAAGACAATTCCTAATGCAAGAAATTGTAAAGGGTTAATAAAGTGGTTATAATTATTATTAACAGAAAGCGAATGAAACACCACACTGGTATACACTAGTCTTGACCATCGACCCTTGTCCAGGGAAACACTTTTGCCTTCTGTTTATTGGACGATTTCAATTTTCTATTTGAGGCGTCAAAAATGTTGTTAGCTCTGAAAAAAAAATCGAAGGTGATTTGTCACTGGCTTCAGCCTTTTAAGTCTTGAGTTTCAGCACCTGACATTCAGGTAATTTAACTGTAATCATATGTGTTTGATCCACTCTCGATTTTACCCTTAATCCTATATTTATCACCGATCAGGAGTTATTTAGACAGTCGCAAATTCATCTCTTTTGTTTAGGAGTGAAAGCGTAGAGGTCTGTGAACTTTAGTTGTTGGAACAATCTGCTTGCGGCAGAGCACTTTTGAAACCAAGGGCTGAGTGAAGAGGCCGGTAAACAAAGGTTTTAAAGACCACGGAGATGGCATTAAAGGCGTCACTGAGTATCAGTAACAACCGGCTCAGCTGGAATGAACACCAGCAGACACGGGTCTCCCATCGTCCAGGACCAGGACTGGACACTACACCTGGTCCTACTCCTACTCCTCAACCTACTAGTTGACAACTTCACAAAGCTGTGTTGCAACCCCTCGCTCCAAACCGCCCGACTTGGACAAATAACGCGCAACACATTTAAAGGGGATCAATCATATCTTACCATCATATAATGAATACGCCTTTGTATCACAAATGAAGGAAAAAACAGCACTTTTCCATGTTTACACACACATTTGAATGAAACCAGGAAATATTCCTATTAATCACTCGAAAGATTTCCCGTATATAAAACGCTGAACCTTGTGTCGTCCACAGAACCATTCTGTAACTGGAAAGCACAATTACCCCCAAACATATTACCCCTGACACTAAATAACCACAAGTAGAAACATCCAGATAAATGTAAAAAAAGGGGGGTTGGTGTTGAATTATATCTTATAATAAAGTTCCTCACCGTGTCATTTTGAAATTACTTCTTACACGACGTGTAAAAAACAAGTAGTTACATTCTCGTTTAAACGACAAATCTTTAACATTTCCTACCACTACAAAATAAAACGGACGCAATACCCTTCCGTTGTCATTTTAACTTTACGGGTCTTCTTATTCGTTGTCTGAATAGCAAATCCTTGTCGCACCGAACTTCAGAAAAGAAATCTGTAAGACACCCACCCGAGATGAGAAAGGTATTTGTATAACGTACCTAAAATCTCCCTTCTTCTCGAGGTGTGCGGTTGGTCTGTGTAGACCCATTCAAAGTCCTCTCTCCCGGTTTTACTCCCCATAGCCACTACTGCTCGCTTTTCACAGTGTACACCTGCTCCCCGCACACACTACTGCACAGGTACAACTTCTGCCCAAGGTGGAAGATGTGAGGGAAGGCTCCTCCCTCCAGGAGTCATAGCACAATACCAATTGTGTGAACTCACCTCGCTGGTCATTTCGCGCTCCCCGTTACACATCCATTTTTGTCGGTGAAATTGATCTCCTCGATCACCCCCACCCAAGACATTTCAAAAATTAATCCTGCCCCGAGCATGGATTAAAAAACAAAACAAAACAAAACAAACAAACGCTCGGTACAGGTATGAAAATGACCTCCTATGCTCAGATGTAAAACAAAACGTTGTCCCAGCGCTGGTAGAGCTATTTCCAAATGAAATCGAATAAATGCCGGTACCGGTAGTTCGGAATTGAAAATAAAAATTAAAAGTTGTGGCATTTTTAACATGTTTCAACGGGGGGTTGCAAGAAAGCCAGATAGTAATTGTAGACCTGTACATCACTTCTGAAAAGTCTTTAAAGTAACACCAAAATAGATTTCCCTTCAAAAGCGCTACTAGCTCTTTAATAATATAACATAATTTCTAAAATGCAAAAGTTTGGATGTTTATTTCAAACACATAAGAAACCAAGTGACCACCATTTATTGAAACTGTTTATTAAGTCAGTACAAAGCCAGAAGCTTTCAATTTTGTTCAACATATTACAAAAAATGAATGTAACATGAGTGTTTTTTTAAGGCACAAACAGAAGATACCATTGAAGCTATTCTGGGAGATAATTAAGGTTTTGAAATACCACATGATAAAGATGACGAAAAACTTTGTATCAAATAATTTACCGCATGACAGAAGAAGCCACTTTACACCATTTTAATTTTAGAACACATCTTCCTGAATTTACCAATATAAGCGTCTTTTAACAAGGCAGGGGATAATTTTCTTCATAAACTATTCTATGTATTCTTCCAATAGCGCACATGGTATAAAATAAATGGCAATTTTATGGTGACCCCCCCCTAGTGGACAGCACTGGCAAATGCACACAAGGTGTCACGGATTTACAGTGAAGAACACCTGCTGCAACTGAAGAAAGCTTCCAGAACTCTCAGCAACAGACAATTCATATAGGCGTGTTTTACTAATTGCGGTTTGTTATCTTGGATGGAATCACTGACGCGGTTGCCAGGAAACGGAGTATAAACGTCGAGTTACAGACTCTAACCGGTGACCACCGTTACCACTGTAAACACAGACGTCACTTACAACACGTTTTTCACTTTTTCGAATCATAGCGTCGCACACTCCCGATTGTTTTCAGGTACAAACAGTTTTATATACACAATCTGTTAACGCAGATCATGTGATAGGATGACGGCTACTTGAAAATCGTACTGAAACGCAACTAATTGATCCACACTCGCAGGCTTTAGGTGTCTTTTCACACAACTCTTAGAACGTGGCTAAACTAAAAATCAGTTACAGTCATTAAAAAGACAGGAATCGAAGTCTTGGAAAGCAAGACCCCTTTAGCAGTGAAATGGATCAGCCCGAATATTCTCTGGGTAAGAGGAAGAGCAATGCAGAAGACAAACAGCTTACGAAATACTAAAAATTAAGAAAGGTTATTGCTGACAAGTCACGGGGATATTTTAATTATTGAAGCGACCATAACGTCTTGTGTCACAATTTCTGCATAGTTTGAGAATACATGTTGATGGAATTTGTGTGGTCGTAGTTTTTTGTAATCCTAATAATTAAAATAACGTAAGATAAATTAAGTTGGGGGACACCTGTTCTTGCTGATGCAAAACCTCATAAGAACACAATTAGAACATTGTTCATTTTGTGATCACTTACAAAATACACTACTTGGTTTATGTGCTACAGTAACACCCCCCCGGTTAGAACTACACAACGTATCGAAACACAAAATCCTCAGGTACCTTTCTGGTTTTTTTTTGCATTTCAATTAACCTTCTGCAGAGCAGTTGGCAAAAAGAAAACAATGTACCACTTTCTTTTAGTTTATTAAAGATTCCCACATAAATTTGTCATAAAAAAAACAAACAGCAAACCTTTTAGCAATACAAGTTCACCTGCGCTCCTTGTTTCATTCCTAATGCAAGAAGTTGTATAGTGTTCATAAAGTGATGTTATTGTACTGAAACGTACCTTACGGCTGTATCCTGACAAGCGGGGAGAGAGTGAACACGTATAACTGTCCATATAACCCAGTATCAGCGCAGCTGCACAAAAGCCAAGACATACTAACCACTATCAACATATGTAGATTTTTCACTACACCCTTTACTAAAATGAAGCTACTCTATTGCAGACGTTAACTACGTATACATCTGAACGTAAGAAACCTACAAACAAGAGGAGGAGGCCATTCGGTTCATGTAGCACGTCCGGCTGTTTGTATGTGTACGCCAGGCGCCACATTAACATCCTACCAACTCATTCCATCTTTCGATCAATTACAACAAACAAGTCCATACTGAAAGCCAACTGCAAATAAGCTATTCACGGTGTTTCCCGGTAGTATTATTATCATTATTTAAAGTACCGCACATCGCGACGCCGGCACCCTAAATCACGAACAAAACGAACGCCATTAAAAAATTAAAACAAAACCGCCGTTCCTTCTAAAATCCCACAAACGCGCGGAGCTGCACCGTCCCGTCGATTTCGGAGGTGTAAAAAAAAAAACAAAAATAAGAACGACATCGATAATAAAACCGCCTGAAAGAGCACAAAGTGCCGAGAGAAGTCGCCGGCTCGCCCGCTGCAGCCGCCGCAGGCCTGGAGCGCCGCACGTCTCGCGAGACTGTGAAAGTGAGCAGTGTGGCGACGGGAGTTGGTGTGGGCCGGAGTTGAGTTATTTGTGTTGTCGAAGAAGGAGGAAGGGAAAGGAGACCGGAGCAGGGGGGGGGGTTACATCGGCAACAGAACAGAGCGAGTGTGAGAGCAATCCGGGGGAATCCAATATGGCATCGGGCGATACCCTCTACATTGAAACCGATGGCTCGGAGATGCCAGCCGAGATAGTCGAGCTCCACGAAATCGAAGTGGAGACCATCCCTGTGGAGACTATCGAGACCACGGTGGTCGGGGGGGACGATGACGACGAGCACCACCAGCCCATGATCGCCCTGCAGCCGCTGGTTACAGACGATCCGAGCCAGGTTCACCACCACCAAGAGGTGATCTTAGTGCAGACCCGGGAGGAGGTGGTCGGCGGGGACGACTCGGACCTCCGGGCGGATGACGGCTTCGAGGACCAAATCCTCATCCCAGTCCCGGCCCCGGCTGCCGAGGAGGAGTACATCGAGCAGACTCTGGTGACTGTAGCCGGGAAGAGTAGCTCCTCTTCGGCGGGGCGGATGAAGAAAGGGGGAGGCGGCAGCGGGAAGAAAGCGGGTAAAAAGAGCTACCTGAGTGCGGCCGAGGCCAGCGGCAGAAAATGGGAGCAGAAGCAAGTCCAAATAAAGACTCTGGAAGGGGAGTTTTCAGTCACGATGTGGGCTTCTGGTAAGTGTGTGATTTGATTGAAAACAGCGGCCGCTTTCCTCTCTGCATTGTTCTCCCCTCATTCCTAACAAAGCGGGCCTTGCAAGGGCGTTGTCCTCCTCTGGCAGCCCAGCTTTTCGCGCCGTTGTATAACCCGGTGTCTGGAGTGTTTTTCTAAGTTCCGAGTCCAGGCTTGAATGGAGCCCGGTTGAAATGTTTTTGTTTTGAAGGGAAGCCATGTTTTTTATGTGTTGATGGGCGCCGCCATGTTCCCCCGGTCCAGTATGGCGGCCCGAAAAAATGGCGTTGGTGCGGCCGGGGGAAGATGGCGGCGGGTGCGGGAGCGAGCGCGCTGCTGCTGGCTCTGGGAGTAGGCCGCAATGGCGCAGTTACACTCACAGGATACAGGCAGACGCGGGAGGGGGAGGGGGAGCGTCGGACTGCGAGCGAGCCGCTTCGCTGAGCGCTCGGTCAGGCGTCGGCCCGTGCATGAAAGCTGCTTGTCTGATGTGCGGTTTTGGGGCAGCAGTTGGCTCGCATTAAACCTGAGGTGCATTAAAGTTAGAAAATGTCGAAATCTGGCAGTGGGTTTTGAGGAAATAACTTATTGCAAAGGCGCTTGGTTAAATTAGCCAGTTACAGCTGCCTATTCGTTGGAGCAGATGTCAGTTAGGCAGTTATTTCACATCACACTTTGAAAGCAAAATACACGCAATTAATCTAATTCAGCGCACTTCTCAAATCGAGTATCTCACGAATGCACCTTGTCTCCTTTATTCCTTCAGTGGGGCGAACTGTGTCGAAGTCTATCAGCTGATTTTAAGATTGACGTTAAGGTTGAGCCAGGAGACCGTTCTAGATAGGTTTCATGTGTCCGTGTGTCGATGAAAAGCATGCGCTTGGTGGTATTCAGTTTTTGTTTAGGATGTAACTGTGTGTGATGTTAAACCGCATTTTAGGACAGTTTGCCGAAAATGCAAACATGCAGCCTTGCACCGTTGCCTAGGCGAGCAGATGGGTATTTTAGAATATATTTTTGTAGTTATGTGAAGACTCTGTGACCCTGGTGGTGCACGATGTTTGGAAACAACTACTGATATGAGAAACTCCAAATATGGCTGTCTGGTAAAACGTAGTTCCCAAATAAATTCACTGGTTAAAAAATGGCATTACGTTTTTGTAAAAGCTACAGACGATCACTGTTTTTTACTGTGGGGTGGTTATATTTAGTTCGTTCAAAGGCTTGATGACGAGCTTTGCAGAATCGTGAAACTTAGTCCTAGTTTCAGTATTTTCCATGTCATAATGTGATTTAAAAATGGGCGAACTAAGGTGCTTTTTAAAATTAAATGTATTATGAAAGTGCTACTTCGTGAAATTGTAGTCATTTGGGTCTCCGTGCGGTACCTTTCATTTGCGTTGAAACGGCATGGTTTAATGCATTTGTTACGGTTTGCTTTGAGAGGTCAGGCAATGCAATCTGCATCCCCCGCTTTCTAAAGTAGCATAATTCTCAGTGTCATGTTGAAAAAAGTTCCAGAGGAACCGAGCAACAGCTAAAGTGTCCAAAACGCTAATCCTCCACGCTGGCCTGGTTTTTAGTGTCTTAAACACTGCATGTTATTATTATTATTCTGCACTTAAGCCATCTATAAAGGAAAATGCATATTATTTAGATTATACATGTATAACCGACGCTTCAAGTAAACCGCTGTTGTAAGGTGAAACTCACTCAAGAATAGCGTTCATTGTGTCTCTTTAATAATTCAGTGCCTGGTGGTTTCATTCATTCATGCTCCAGTTAGTTCTGCTGATACCTGTAGTTTTCCGGTTATATGTTTTGAAAGGACTTAGAATGTCAGCGACGTTCTAGTTTGTCAAAAAAATTCAGAAACTCCAGACCGGGTAAAGAAACATACTGTTCTGTCTTTCTCCTCCTCTGCTCGCTGTACATGCAGTCAGATTTGTGATTATGTGGCGACTGTCAGTGTGCAACAGTGGAAGCAGAGCTCTTTTCTTCCGGCTTTTAGCAGGTAGGGTTGAAAGGCAAATTGTTATGCAAAGCGTCAAGCAACGACATGGGGAAAAATCGATGTATTTATGTGCACCTTGCGATATGATGCAGATGAATGAAACGGAATAGGATTATCTGCATTGATTATAAGCACGAAACGCTGGTTTAGTTTTTTTTACAATGTTCTCCAAGGAGCTTTATAAACAGGAGGATTGAGAGTAAAACCCATTTAAAATTGCCTGTGGCAGTGTGGATTGAATAAGGCGTATGGTAATAGATTCTGGAAGACTGGAAATATGCTAGCTGAGGTAGAATTTGGGTGTGTAATTGCTAGACTTTGTGGAGAGGTACAAGATGATCATTTGTTTCACAGTAATGATGGCCTAAAAGAGACTGGTAGCAGGAGGAATGTTGTCTAATAAATTGCAAGCTCTGGACCTGTCACGTTGCAAAGCTGTGCTTCTGTGCAGGCGTGTGGGTCTGCTGTAGAGTCCTTCAGCTAAATGTGACGTGACTGGGGCAGGGCTGTCATTCCTGGCTTCTAATCTGTTTTCCATACACGATGCTCCACACTAGTCTTGTATAGCAGGTTAGTGCTCAGATGTGTGGGAGCTGATGAGGGGAGAGAGAGGTCAGGCACAGGCGATCCAAAATAGTAGGCAAGGGCTTGGGGTGTTCATTCGATGTGGCTGTATACTTGTGAAGGGTCGTGAGAAGAGATATTTTAGTTAATTGTTAAAAGGGGATTCCCATTTCTGTTGAGAGCTGTAAGAGTCTGTAGAGAAAACATTAAAACATTTTATTGAATTACTTAATCTGTATTCTAATAGCATAACAATTACAGAGCTGAAGTATTTATTGCGTGGGTACTCAGTGGTCCGTTTCTGTTTGCTGATGAAGGCACCTTAAACTTTCCCTGCTGCACCATCAGCCTATTAATAGTAGGGTTCTGCCAGAGCAGGCTGTATGTCCTTTTGATGTCTTATGCAAATGTTACATTTTGTTGAGCAATCTCTTAAGTAAATGCAAGCACAGTAAAAAGTGAAAAATGCTGAAATTTGTCACTGTTATTTTCAGATCATGATCTAAGGTATTGCACCACAGCTAATTAGATTGTCATAAGAATTTTTTAGGGCAGAGTGGTGAAATTTACAGGGTTTTCTCAAGCTGGTGTGTGGAATCTAGTCTGTAGTATGTGTGCCGCGGTCCTACTTACTAAGTCAGTAAGTTGGCAGTGCATGTTTCTTTCGGATCAGAAGAGTTGACATACAAATTGGAGGCCATTTGGTAGTTAGTAGCTACTTAAGTAGCATGGCTGGGTTGCGTTTTACCTTCTTCCACATCTTGTGTAAAGATGTTTGGAATGTTAAACTATACTTTGAAGCAGAAAAGTTTGGGAAGCACTGAATTGAAGGACCATGTTGAACTTAGCCTGGGCAGTGTGAAAAAACAGCCAGTTGTTCCCTCTAGTGGTGTGAGCGAACCAGCAGTCCAAAGGACTATCCACAGAGCAGTTGAATGCTCTTGCTGGCATCTTGCCTTGTGACTTTTCACATGTAGCAGTTGTATTGGATGTCAGCCAGAGAACTATAATGACTCCACTGTAGCGAAAGCACTGATGTGCCTTTCATTACTTTTTAACTCCTTTTACTTTTTTAACCTTGTGTCCTAAGTGCGCTTTGAAGATACCATTCTGTTTATCAGGTCTGCAACGGAAGAATAGGTAAGGAACATTTTCTGCAAGTAATGTTTAAGTTGAATTTGTACCTGTGAGGTTCAATGTCTGATGGTTATCAGCTGAAGTCGCCGCAAGTATACTAACTCCATTCTCACTCCTAAATGCTCCTGGGAACCTGTGGAAGGCAAGAACTACAAAGAGAAGTGTAATCTCCCCTGCTTTCTTAAACATGGGGAGATGTATGGAAATCAGCAGTTTAGGCAAGGAGTGTTGAAGTAAGCATAAACTGTCTCTAAAATTAAATGATGAGTATTTAAAGTTTTGCCTGCTGGAGGCCTTGTGTGCACTGATGTCTTGTACCAGAGAGGTTTGGCTCAGGGCGGGTTTCTGAGGCTGCCAGGTGTTCTGGATATCGGGTATAGAATACAGATTGCTGAAGAGTTTCCAGGTTATCTCTGAGAAACAGCAGGTGTTTTCCCTGGATGGACTGATAACCAGCACATGCCTTACACTCTCAAACTAGGACCAAGGGGGTATAGACAAGGTTTGACCTTTTTTATTCAAATCAGTTTTTATTGTTTTATGAGGAAAATAAAGTGCAGATATTTAACAGTGATAACAGCCTGTCTTATCTGCTAAACATCATATATTTGAATTATAGTTGGGATGTTCAGGGGGATTTGTGAACAGTAAAAATCAACAAAAACAACTCCCCAGCTTTTAAATGAATGTATGTTGGCAATTTGTTATACAGGTACATAAACATTGGAATGATCTTATGATTTTAAATTTGACATGTTAAGAAAATAACTAAGTACAGTTTTTGTGTGACACTTATAAACATCTCTTAAGATGGCCAATTATTATCAGATGTCATAATAGTAAATACAAGTACAATAGAAGTTTAATTAAAAGCATTGTTTGCTTAACTGTTCCCAGATCTACTCCAACTCTAGCCTAGGGAGCCAGGTGTTCTGTATCTACATTGATAGGTAGACTGATTGATATAGCCAAGGTATATTAAAACAGCATACAGTTTTAAAAAACAAATCAATGCAGTTTGATGAGCCAGCCTTAACGATTCTGCCTTTGTGTCTGTAGGTCTGTGTCACCAGCACAAAGATAGTTCTTTTTTCTGTGATGACTTTTATGAAATAGAGGATTCTCCCTCCAATCTGTTCTCCTCGAAGTGGCTAAGTTCCAAATGTGGCTACTGTTACTAATACGGTTAATAACTTCTCAGATAAGATAGTCACAAATGGAAACAAATGTGCTCTTATGTAGAAGAACAATAACATTGGTTAAGATTACTACTGATAATAGTGTAGTGTAACTTTTTTGGGGGGGCTTGTGAGTTTTAATTACTATTGGTGTCTTGAATCTATAGTATGAAATAGCAACCTATTTTTTGTTTGCATCTTGTTTCTTGATAAACCTCATATCTGCACTGAGAATTTAATTTTAGGGGATACAGTAAGAAAGGAATGTTCAGTATCCCTTAAAATTAAATTTGTTAAAATTGCACCGGGCCGGCCTTTTTTGAGAGCTATTCCTTAAGGAATACTTCTGTTCCTTAAGGATTTATTTGCCAAAGAATTACCATCTTCTGGTTTACATTTAATATTCTAAATTAACATTAATTTTGATGTTTTCATCTATAGTCCTTGCAAGTGTAGTACACACTCTGAATCAAGCCTAGCAATAGTTTTTAGATGTGTACTGTCTCGTAAGACTTCTGCTGTGCAGTCTGTATATTTTTATGTTCATGTCTATGTGACACTGGCATCTCTTTAAACGTCAGCTGGTCTAAATTTCAATTCTTTGGACAACAATTTACCGCATTAAAAAGTACACGGTTTCTCATCGGGTAGGATGCAGCCCCGGAACAACAAGAATGTAGGTGTTAAAGCTGCGCTTCTGGTGCTCTGTTGCAGATGACAAAAAGGATATTGATCATGAGACAGTGGTGGAGGAGCAAATCATCGGAGAGAACTCCCCTCCGGATTATTCCGAGTACATGACTGGGAAGAAACTTCCTCCTGGAGGCATCCCTGGGATCGACCTCTCGGACCCCAAGCAGCTAGCGGAGTTCGCCAGGTAAACCGAGCATCAGTGCTCCGCATGCGGCCTCGCTGCGTTTCTGCATGATCTGGCCCTCACTGGTGCCAGCTGGGATTTACACGTCCTTCTTTTTATCTTGCTGTTCTCACGAAAAACAAACCTCGGAGTATCTGATTTTTTTTTGTTACAGAAACGGAATTTACATTCTGTAAAAAATGCATTGCCACCAATTGCACGTGGCTTGATGTGGTTATCTGTTAGATAGGTCTGTTAAAAGATCAGGGGTTTCTCTTTCTCTTGGGTTTTGCTCGGGGTCTCCAGAGTCCTGTGCTAGTGTGTAATGTGAAGTGAGCTGATCATGTCAAAGAGCATGGAGAAGTAACCTTCAGATGATTCATTTATAGTAGCTTCATGAATTTGTTTATACCGTTGGGTGTCAAATCAAATGAATTGAAGATTTACAGCATCAGTAAACACTGAAATTAATTACTTACCCTTTAGACAAAAACAAGAGGTACATTTTAACTTTAGGTGGAGATATTTTTTTTTGTTATGTTTCGGACCCAGAATGGCAAAGTAACATATAGCAAAGTTGGATGTACGTTTTCTAGCATTCTAGCATGTGGTCAGAGCAGTGTCCTGTATTGCAGATTCACTGATGCTTTGCAGTGACTTGCAATTATAGTTCCCTGGACATGATTGACTGTAAACTGTAAAACATACAGTGCAGTATCAGGTTGCACAGTAATATCTAGTAAAACTAATCCAAATGAAAGATTGTGAATTGACTGAGCCCAGTGATCTGAGCTCTGGAGGTTTTAATATTAAGCTGAGGACATTTTCATCACAATATTAAGATAAAGGAAACAAGCTTATGATTGGCATGGTATGTAATAAAAGGGTTGCAGTCTACTTAAGATTTATTTTTTTTATGATAAAAACACCTATATTTTATTCAGCAATAATAAGCAGCAATGTTTTTCTAGTGGCGGCAGTATTTTATCACCACCTGTGCATATTAAATGCTGCCATGTTGTGTCTGAATTGTGAGAAGAGTGTTATTTCTGAGGTCTCCAACTGTGGATCAGCAACTTTTGTATCTGTTAGATCTGGTTTAATAGTGAGGTTAAGGCTTCCTTTTCCTTGAAAACAACCCACCTGGTTTCACAGAAAATAAGAAAAGACAACCAAAGGATTTGGAGGGAGGAGGGGAATACTGGTTTTAATAGTCAGTAGCTGATCCACCTATGTCCCTTGCAGAAGGAGCCATTTGAGCAATACACAGTGCAGCATGCTCTCTCAATGTTTGTGTGTAGGTCTATAAAGTGCGATACCTTTGTCTTCAGTGTGGGGGTCTTGTTTGCGGTAACTCACATGATCGTTTCAGCGGCCAGAGACTCAGTGAGCAGTAAACCAGAAGTAGTATAGGTGAGCTTGGAGTCTGCTATTGCTTTCCTCCAGTGGTGTTGATAGAGGCATTAACCACAAAATAACATAGGTGTTTACTTGCAAAGAAGTGATTCATACCGTAATTCTGATGTTTCTAAGGAAAGCCGAGTAGGAAGAAAGTGTATATCTGCTTCGTAGGCCTGGGCATAATCCATTTGTGTTCACTTGCTTCAACTTGTCTTTTGTTTAAACCTGCATTGTTAAAAGAATGTTATTTTGAAGGTTGTTTTTCCCCCCATTTAATTTTAAGCTTCTATTGAAAGAACTGCATTTTTTGAAGCACTTGATAAATTACATCTTAATGGAAATGAAGGTTCTTGTTAGAACATCTTGGGGTGTATCAGTTTGTGAAACACTGAAAATACTGATTTTCCACACACACACTTACATCTTGTGTTGATTTGGGTATTACAGATTACTACTATACATTATAAGAAGACACATTCACTTTGCGATTTGCTTATCAGTCTAAAGTATACCATATTTCTAGTTTTATTAGGTGTCCCATCCATGATGCTTGCTAGGATGGGCTCCAGCTCTCCTGTGACCCTGGATTGGATATTTTGTTTAGAAAATGGAAACGTGCATTTTGTGTGGTTTTGTAATTTCATGCTGGATTAAATATTTATGAGTTGTGCAATAGGTTTAATCTGTTGCCACTTTTCTCATGGGGCTTAATGTGAAAACTAGCAGTTCTACATGCCACCCTTCTGGAAACCGTGTATGAAACATCTTTGGCATCAACAGCACAAAGCTTAGGTTCGCTTGCAGAGCTGTGCAAGTGAGGTTAATCCCTCTGGTGGAAAGTAAAAAGAAGGAAGAAAACCTTTTGGCTTTCTTTAGGTGAGAAAGACTATTGGAAGAGGTGTTACATAGAATAGGTCTTAACTGAATGTATTTGAAGTGGATGTCAATGCCACACCTACAGGCCTTGTTTTACCTTGCAGGATGAAGCCACGAAAAATAAAGGAAGATGACGCCCCCAGGACGATAGCCTGTCCCCACAAAGTGAGTTTTCTCTGTGCTTTTTTTATGTTCATTTTATTGTTGTCCAATATTTTCCACAATTATGTTATAAAAAATAAATAATAAAGTTATAAAATAGAATACACACACAAAAAAGATCCTCTTTTGCCTCACAACCCTTTGCCCAAAAAAAGCAGAGTACTGCTGAATAGGTGTAGATATATTCATGTATGATTAAACAATTATGACCTTTATTTTTCATTACTTAAAATAAATCGCTTCACCTAGTATTCATCCTTCTAATTTTCTCCCATCTATCTTCAAAAAGCTTGTTCTAATTCCTTATTCTATGCGTTATCAATTCCATTTAATAAAATTCACTAATTGCTTATCCATTTACTGATTTCAGGTGTTTATGGTTTAAACCATAACCTTGTCATCTGAGTTTTCTCTGTGTTTGAGGATTGACTAAGAAACTAAGAAACAGCTCACACAGGTCTCAGTAATGGGAACAGCCCTAACAAACACTTTAGAGCCATTTGCCAAGACTTGCTGCTGGTGCCTTTGTGATTTTATTTACATTTGTGATTTTATTTACTAGAAATTAATTACTGAGGAGCTTCTCAGACAAGAAACATTTCCAATCTCCTGGTCTCCATAATCTTCCACTGGCTACAATTTACTGGCTGTGTTAGTGTGTGTGGCAAAAAGCAGAGCAAAACATCCCTCTTAGAGTGGAGCTGACATTAAATCATTTGTCAAACTCATGGCTGGATTACAGTTTAGACATATTTTTGTACGTTTCCACCTTTCAGTGAAAGAATCTATTTTCCTGAGAAGTGCGTGTATTGGCTTGTAAACGTTTTTCAGCTGGTATTAGTTGTCTGTTTGGTTTAACCCTGACATTGCTATATCTTAGCATGCACATAAAGAAAGATCTTGAAGTCTATATGGCAAGATCACAACCAGAGACTACTTGATAATGTTTTGGCTCCTTCATTACCAGTAAACTAAGATTTGGCATTCATTGGAAAGATTTCAAAGTCACATCTCATTTTGCTGTTTTACATAATCAAAAATTCTCTGTCTTCATGTTTTGGGGACAAAGGCTTTAATAGGTACTTTTTTACTGCTGGTGGGCTTCATTCACTTCAGCACTTGAAGTTCAAGTTTGCTGGCTCTTTCCAGCTGTACTTAAGCCTGTGTTCTGCAGTGCGTACCTGTGACATCTCCTGAGCAGAGAGTCGGTCCCTAGGAGCATATCCTTCTTTTTTTTATCCTCCCTTTTTGTGTCTTTTTATTGGAGGCATCATATGAATATTTAGCAACTGTTCCCATCTGAATAGGGATTTTATATGTTGCAAATCAGGCCATTTCCTGGGACAATATTTGGGAAATAAAATTCTGACACATAAATCTGATTTCCTGTTTACAACCGCATCATATGAAGGTAGTTCCTAGATGTTTAGAAGTTTTTTATAGTTTTGTAGAACATGGTTCTTGCTTATCTTTTACTCTAAACTGGAACAATCCCTCTTAAAGCTTCCTGGATGATGGTTCTAAACTGCACCCATCTAAGCAGCTGAAACATACCACTTAGCTGAACTACATCTAAAAGCCTACTGGCACTACATTGAGAGCCTCTGCATTCCCTGTCTTGGGAATCATGGCCTCCCTGGGTATTCATTAAATGGAACTTAAAATGCTCAGATCCATGATGCAGTTGAGGGGGAGGATAGTGGCATGGAGTGCAGAGGATGTAGTTCAAGCCTTGTTTCACTGCTTCCTAATTAAATCCACGAACAAGAGGTATAATGGCAAAACAGTTAAGTATTGCAAGGTGAGCTGAAAACTCGGGAGGTAACCAGGCAAAGATTGACTAAGCTTTGTTAGTTCTTAGTTTCTTCTGACAGTTTAATAGTCGGTAACATACAGGTGTACTACTGGCGAATGGCTAAGTTGCAAGCATTTAATCATTATTCATCTGTGGTGTGTTGAACTTGAAATGATCTAATTCCTGCCTGTCAGCTGCTCTTGTTGCTAACACTATCGGTTGGGTTCATGTGGTCTAAGCAGTTGTATTGTCTCTTTCTGCCCAGGGATGCACAAAAATGTTCAGGGACAACTCCGCCATGAGGAAGCACTTGCACACTCACGGGCCACGAGTTCACGTCTGTGCGGAGTGTGGGAAGGCGTTTGTGGAAAGCTCCAAACTGAAGAGACATCAACTTGTTCACACTGGAGAGAAGCCTTTCCAGGTGTGTTGTCCTTTATTATTATTATTATTATTATTATTATTATTATTATTATTATTATTATTATTATTATTATTATTATTACTAATTTATTTAGGCTTTTATCCAAAGCCAATTGTGTTGCTGAAATTTGTTCCCGTTTATACAGCTGGCTATTTTACAGACATTGAATGAAGTATTTTGCTCAAGGGTGCAATGCAGGTGCCCACCCTTTGAATTTTGGGTTCAGAGTGTAAGCGCTACTTCTCCCTGTTGGCTGGGCATGTCTTAATAGGATATGCAAGCTGAAGAGATGAAAAATAAGATGAAGAGAACTGTTTTTTTATTTCCTTAAGGTTGGGTGCTTTATAAAAGGCACAGATTTAACTGTTGTTTAATAGGCTAGTTTCTGAATAATTGACATGTAGTAGAAGTATACTGTGTTTGAACAAATGCAACTCCATATACTGCAGTAAGTATTTAGGAGCCAGATTTAAAGTGTATTTGAATCCACATGACAGGTCTCCATTGTTCTGCAGAAATCCAGTATTTAACACTAAAAACCTTTACAGTCCTTTTTACTGACAGCTTTAGGTATTTTGTGTTTTCCCCATTCTGTTGCACTGATGCTCCGGTTATTGCAAGCAGTTTGTGTTTCCAGCATTGAAGATAAAGCCTTAATGTCGTTGGATTTAAACGTTGAGTCGATTGCAGCGCAGGAGAGCGTGAGCCTGTTTTCTTCTCTTTCCCCCCTGCAGTGTACATTCGAGGGCTGTGGGAAGCGGTTCTCCCTGGACTTTAACTTGCGCACTCATGTGCGGATTCACACCGGAGACCGCCCCTACGTCTGCCCCTTCGACGGCTGCAATAAGAAGTTTGCTCAGTCCACCAACCTGAAGTCTCACATCCTAACACACGCTAAAGCCAAAAACAACCAGTAAAAGTGCGGAGACGCCTCCCAGCCAATCCTCCACACGATGGCATCTTAACGCAAATGTTCATTGAAATACCCTTTGTATATTGTTTCTAGGAAAAAAAAGTTTTAAAAGAAAATTACTTAACGGACTTTTTGATAAGTAAGGAGATGAGAAAAAGGAAAAAAAACTTTAAGGATGAAGCTAAACAGTTTATCACCTTTAGTACTGATTTGAGAACACGGTGGTGTTCTGTAAAGCCAACTGGTAAATAATGGTCCATTCAGGAAGGCACACTCACGGACTTTCATTTAAAGACTATTCTTTATACAACTGCGCTAAAAGAGAAAAATTGGGACTGATTTTCATATCAAAGAAGTATAATTTTCACTTGTCTGCATAGAAAACCATTTGCTTTTTAATTTTGTATTTTTCCAAGTGTGCATATTGTACACTTATTTTGGGATATGCTTCGTAATGCTATGTGTGATTTTTTTCTGAAGATTGAAATCTGCTTGTAATAGATCTTCTTGGAAGAGAATTGGCAGTTACTGTACTACATGCATACTTCAAAAGTATTTTTTTCTGTAAAAAGTTAGTTTTTTTTTTTGCTCCTTAATTTGGTTGTATTCTTCACTGTTAACTCATTTTGTATAATTGTACCGTACAGCTGTATTGAAATCATGTAGACTCTAATAGCAATGTGATTTAAATAGTGTTAATCAATTAAAACCATTTTAGTCACAACATTTACTTTATTTTTCCTGACATGTACTGCCAGTTGCTAAGTTGTCTAATGTACTTCACTTCAAAGCCTGTCTCAGATACGTTACACAAACACATAAAAAAACGTGGTGCTCGGTTGCATTTGTAGAATGTATTGTACAGGCGTCAACCTTTAATTCCTGTTAATATGTACATCCCATGTACTTAATGAGGCCAACAATAAAATGGTGGTCCCAAAGCAAGCACTTAGTAGAAATTTAATTTTTAAGAATGTTAGGAGTTGTACAGGCTAGAAAATGAGTCTGATGTTGTGGATGGAGAATCAATTTGCTTGTCTGCTACTAATCGCATTTCCTCTGAAATGGTCCATGTTGCGGTGTTCTTGAATGTATTGTTTTTAACATGGGGACTGTCTCAATGTGGCTGCAAAAAGAAGCCTAATAGCATATGAAAGGTTTCTGAAAGCTCCAGTATCTCAGTTCAGTAGCATCTTTGTTGAAGAGAGTGAGCCCAATTGTTGTCAGAAGTGTTACAATGAGTGCTTTCCTGTCCTCCTTTGTTGCAGACCCCACTCTTGCCTAATTTAAGCATTAGTTATGTTTGTGTGGTTCAGCAGATTTTTTGAAACAACAAGGACAGGTTTTATAGATGTAAAGAAAAGGTAGAGCACTAAGGAATGAGTGTTCTGCCTTGGAGAATAGGGTTACAGAGATTACAATGGTGACTGAAGGGGTGTAATGAGAAAACCTGCTGTGGTTAAGTTTCCTGATTAGCATCCCTGTGGATCTTGTGCCTAATAAAAACAGCTAATTTCTGTGACTGTCGACTGAGTGTCTTGCAACCACGCAGTTCTTCCTCTTTCTCTGTTGACTGTTCAACATTTGTTGAAGGTGGCTGTGCTTTATAACTACTCCAATCCTGCCAAGCATCATTGGGTCAGTCACCCTTTCAAGACCTCAGTGGATTCAACCAAACAAGATGCACATATTGAAATGTTGGACGCTGAAAGCTAAAGGAACACAGGCATTAGCAGAAGTAGCTAAGTCTCATTTTAAAAATTCGTAATTGTCAGAAAAAGCCAAGTCAACACTGAGGGGTAACGGGACCCACCAATCTGCCTCTCATCTTAGCATTAATATCTATTATTCATTCAGGGTAACAATGAAATACAGCAAGGTTCCATTTTACAGATGTGCTATATTTTCTCTGCTTGACGCAAAACCCGTTTGTCTCCCAGTTATACTGTCAGCCTGCAGTGGACGCCGAGATCATCCGCCTTCTGCTTCTCAGAGTTCAATGGTTTTTGGAGGTGAACTTGAGGCGGGTGTGATTCCTGCCAGCCCTCAGCATGCATCTTTAATGTATACAAAAGATCTGCACAGGAGTTATCATTATTTATGCTGATATTCTCTCCTGACTTTTTTCCTCTTTAGCATTAAGGTTCAGATGTTTGCTATTGCCTTGACAGATAAAATGATATGCTGAAACTAACTTCTTGAAACTTAAGACTCGTTTCCAGCTGTATCAGAACCCTGAAACTACAAATGAACACTTCATCAGCAGCTAAACGTGGACAGCAGAATCCCCTCAGTCCTGACTACCTGCACTACTTTGCTGACCTGTGTGGAGCAGTGGTTTTCTGAAATGAGCCTCCCTCTTTGCAAGGATAGGCCTGGTTTAAACCCAATTGCTATCCCATTGTTTTTTTCTTTCAGATACTTAAACTGTGCTCTACAAGAGATAGTCTCAGCACACTCCAACGACATGATGAGTTTGAAGGTTACTCCTTACTCTCCCTACATTACCACTGTATATTATTTTTGTGCACATGCTTTCAAAGGTTTTAAATGTCAGTGATATTTTTCAAATTTCAATTTGGGGGGAATTTTTTTTTTAATTTGAGTGCCAATAAGCTCACTTACTGGTTGATTCTAAACTTTAGTTCTGAAACTCTTCTGTAGTCGAAATCTTAAGAATTCACTCAGTGATCTTAACCATTGATAAGCTTGTAACTGCTCTTTCATGCTGAGGTTTCTTCCTGGCCCTTGCAGAATTTAGGATTATCTGCAAGACGGCACAGACTGCTCCAGAGCTCTATTGAATCAGTAATACTTTTTGACTGCCTTTGTATGTGTTTTAGTCGTGAAACTTGTGAAAGTGCAAAAGGGTTAAAATGCATAGAATTGCTTAAGACCATGAAGTGCTTAAGACCATGCTAATCATGGGAAAAAAAGGGTTGGGATCTTGTGCTTTTTAGGTTGACGTTGAAACAACCGTTACCAGTCTTTGTACCTTTATCTGTCCATTGAGTGGGGAGTGAAGCTCACCATCTAAAAACAAAAGATGGGATGGATGCAAAAATGTAAAGAGACTGGCCTCCAAAGCAATTGCAAAACCCTTTTTTTTCTCTGGGACCTTTATTGATAAGCGGCTATGTCAAGTGGGCTATAAAAATCTTTAATCTGTAAGCAACTGATGTGTGGGCGTTGGTATAAAGGTACTTGCATATTAGTATTGGCCGTATAACCGTATGCTGTTTGTGCCTGGCTTTTTATCACAAAAAGGTCATGTGTGGGAGAGAGTGGGAAAGCTGAAGGCTTGGTACAGGGTGTTACACTACTTGACAACATGGTATAACTGTTCAGGTGGGTAGCTGCGTCAGCATGCGTAGGCTGCAAAGGAACAAGTAATAGGTTTATTCCATGCTGAAAAAAAAGAAGAAAGAGAACACAACGTTTCGGCCGTGGAGCCTTCTTCAGGTGTGACGTCACACCTGAAGAAGGCTCCACGGCCGAAACGTTGTGTTCTCTTTCTTTTTTTCAGCATGGAATAAACCTATTACTTGTTCCTTTGCAACATGGTATAACTGTTTGACTCATTTAAGTACCGTTTTAATGTAACTGCAAGCTCTGAAGCCCATTTACCCCCTGTGAGATAAGACCATGTCCTATGGAGTCTGTGTCTGAATGTTCATTTCAGCAGTGTGACAGCAAGCAGGCATTAAACTGGCATTGGACTGGATTATTTTGCTTGAGTCAAGTTACATTTAGGTGAGAATGATGCAAGACTCAGTAGGGAGGTTACATTTTTGTTTATACATAGTATGTGTGTGAGAGAATGTAAATATCATGCATCTTTGCTCTCAGTATGTTTTTGTCCTGTATGATCATTGGTGTGTCATGTATTTTTGTTTTTTTTATTCACTGAACAGGACTTGGATTTTTTTTTTGCACAAGCCATACAGTACGTCAGAGGTGTGGGAGCCTTTGATCAGATTTTCTTGTATAAATAAAATGAATGCTTTGTGCTGTGTGGAATTAAAATAAGGTAAAGTAATATATTTATTTGTTTTAAGGTCATAATCTCAAATGTAAAAAAGCCGATAGCCTGAACAGGTCTCAGATAATGCAGTACTGAACTGTGGAAAAAAACTCTTAAGTAGTGCCTCCCTTTCCTGCCGCTAGAGGCCACTGCCGCTTTAAGCAAACTACACAATGGCCAGAACCGCACAAGTTACGGTCAAATGGATAGAAATCGTTGCCTTTACGTACAGGCTCGCCTGCGCTGGACTTTATACATGAAAAATAATCGAATGGTTATCATTTTCGAGTTGATTTATTAGCCTGCTTTTACGCATTATTTTTTCAGATCTGTTTTCATTTTTTTTTTATGTTTCAGTCTCCCAATTATTTTGGATTACAGCTGCTACATCAAAGATAAAAAATCACTGCTTTTATCCTGCCTTCTGCGTTGTAGTTTAATTCTCCTCTTTAGGCCTGGATTAGTTATTCATTATTTATCCAGTATGAGTATAGGGGAGAGGGTTCCAGAAGTCTAAGTGATTGTTTTGTGTTTATAATAGAGTACAGGAATCTTGATAAATTTTGTATTTTTTAAGCTTTGAATGTCACATAAGGTTGCTTATTTTCTCAGGTTTGCTCAAGAAAGCTCTTTTGAACTAAAACACAATTCAGTTTTGATGTGCAATGTAGAACTTGACAGTACTTGCTTATTAACTATGACATATGTTTAATATCCAATAAATAAAATAATACTGAAATGCCTTTGAATAGTAAGAAACATGCATACTTGTTAATTGTCTGGCTCTCAACAATGCTTGAAATGTTCTGTTGCAGCAAGGCTTCAAACCAACAGCAGAACAGCAAGTTGAAATACAGTACAGCTGCCTCATAGCTGTTCTATATTCTGGACTGAGGTGCATGCTGTGTGGAGTTTGCATGTTCTCACATTGTCCACTTGAATTCTTTCTAGATGATCCAGTTTCTTTCAGAAGCAGCATTTTGAAGTTTACTCTGCATGTACCCTGCAAGGGTACAGGCTTCTTATCCGGGTTATGGTCCCACCTTGTGTCCTATAATTCTGGGAGAGGAGCTGGGTTGCCCTGCACTTATCAGGCGTGAGTAAAGTTCCGACAGTAGATGGGATTCTGATTAACTATGACCTGTAACTCCAGTAATTTCAAGTCCACGCTGCTGTGCAAAGTGAATTGCACCTTATTTAGGAAGTGACATTTGAGTATAAGTGGAGAAATAGGTAATGGAACTGCACGTTGGATGTTTTTGTCGCACTGTTACAAGAAGCTTACCTGACAAAGAGGAAAAAAATGCATAACCATGTTCAACATTATTGGGTTCTCAGTGTTTTTTACTGTTGTATTCTTCATTCCATGTCCTCTTCTTGATTACCATAGTTCAATACTGCGTTTCAAAAAATGCAGTGTGATTTGCTGGGGAAATCCCAGCAACAAGGTCATCTAGGCACATGGAACTGTAACTGTGTGTGGGTATCGGACAGAAAGGAATTGTTTGCAAGGAATGTAGGTTCTCTGGCTCCCGAGACCAGCCTGGATCTCATTTCCAAGCAAATTGGAACATCTTTTTTTTAGAGCTTTACCTACACGTTCCTGTGCTTTAAATGTGCAACATTCTCACACGGTCGAGATACGTTACAATTAAAAAACAGTGCTCTCTTTGAATTTTGGGCTACTTGGAAGCGTCAACCTTATTTAATATTTAAAAGCTTTAAGACTCAATGATGCTACAATGGTTTTGAAAATATTGCAGCTCTAAAAATAGCACAAGGTTTGTTTCCTTATATCTGACACTGTGCACTTTCAATAATTTAAGTCATAAAAGCAAATCAGTTCAGAAACAATTTTCCATTTTATTTCACCTTTTTTACCTGGGCTTTATACAATACTTTGGTACAAGGCGTTTTAAACTTTTAGTACATTGTCATTCTTGCCAAACATTCAATGTCCATGAACAAAATCCAACTGAGATGCATGTACAGTATCAGTGGTCTCCCCGTATCAATTCAGCCCACTGGAATTATTGCAATTTTAAAAACATTAAAAAGGGTTAAAATAAACTATCCCCACAGTAACAGGAGACCAGAACTCTTAAATTCAAAAATCACAGTTCAAAAGTGCTAGTACATTTAACAGCTGATTTTGAAAAATATACGCTCTATTGTTTTTACAGCTTCTTCCCTTACAATTACCCTTAAATATATAAAAGCAGCACACGCACACAAACAGAAGTTGACCACTTGGACATATTGCACCTTTCCCTGAACCACATATAGTCCAGAGAATTTCATCCTTCAATCAACTATCAACCACAGACCCCACTGTATAGCATCCACATACTCGACAGTAACTAACTGCAGTGGCCTCTGATTCTACAGAGAACAATCTGAATCCTTTTAATTTCACAGTTGCAGCCTTGATGGTCTGGATTCAATTCCAGTTTTAACCCCAACCAAAAAGGCAGAAATATCAAAGGGAAATAAATTGAAAAGCTTTGTATAATATTAAATTCTGTTTTTGTTTATATAACAAAAACATTGTAACTTAGCATTCTTCTCAAACCATGTACCTAAACCAGAACTCTCATGTATGTATGTATTCTTTACATAGTTCATCGAACTACATAAAAGATACAATGCTTGAATTCTATATAGTTATAGTCTTAACTATAATTTTGAAAAAAGTGATGATAGTCCTCAACCTGATATTTACAATATACAACACACTGATCAATATTTTTAAAGAGCACCATTCATTACATTGTGTGAAATTGGTAATTTTACCATGGTATATTGTCTCCAATTAGAAAAAAAGCAGAGCTAGAACTCAAGGGCAACTGAAGTATGGCTGTTGTGAGTTTGTTTCAATGGTAACATTCAACTTGTAAAATGCGCCAGTGTCTATATCAGTGTGCGCCTCTTTGGGAGAGCCGCCAATATTGAGACAACTACCCACATCCATAGTATATGGACAGAAACAAAGATGCAGGTCTAGATAGTGAAAGTCAGAATCCTAGGATAATTTTTTATACCTTTGCACATAGTTTAACAGGATATACAATTCCAGAGACTTTCAAACAATTCTGAGATTTTTAGTTATGAATGTCTTATTTTTGCAGTTCAACTGTGGTTTTGAAGGTTGTTGTTTTTTTACAGTTAAATACAGAGAAACAGAACTCAATGATAGTTTCTTGCTCCCACTTTAGACCAAACCCAACCCAGGAATGCATACTCCTGGGAGCAATGAAATTCCATTAAAACACTAAATGTTGTTCAAGAGGGGACTAATTTGATAATACTTTACCAGAAAAAGTGGAATTGTGATCATTGCAAAGCATGAGTAAGAAACAGCTGGGACTGAGGAATGCAGTATATGGACATGGATGAGAACTGTAGAGATTTCTGGAAAGCTAAACTCAAATCCTTTAAAATTCAAGCACAATTTTAACAATGCCTTTAAGAGACATTTCAGCCCCTGTACTGTTACCATGTGACCACTGTGGCATAAATGGGCAAATAAAGTCTATTCAGATTACACTGCCCTGAGCTGGGGAGTGAGTGCCTGACTTAATAGAGCATTCATACATAAAAATGTACAAAGTGGTGTTTAATTGCATCCGTCAGATGAAATGGAACAAAATAAAAATGCAGTCACTTGAGCCTGCTCAACACTGCACATTTTGTCGGAGGGGAGCTTTCCAAGTCAAGTATCTGGGGGAACTACTAGGATTCCTTCATGCTGCATTAGTGGAATTTTAGAGTGTGATAAAAGAGGAACTACATATGTGATATTTCCTAATATTTTGTCTTTTCAGAAAAAATACATTTAAAGTAACACCTTATAGCTGCTTTGTAGCTAAGAGTTTTTGACTAGATTACTTTTCTTCTTAATAGAAGAAAGAATGCAACATTGATAAAAGAACAGGCAGAGAACACTGAAATACCTGTATACAAGCTGGGGCTGGCTTTTGTTTTCCAGTAAATTGTTTATATTCTAAATAAGGCAAAAATAGAAAAAAAACTTTCAAAATGAGATGAGAACTATGAATAAAAAAAAGGCTGCTTTATATGGGAAACAAAAGCAACAAAGGAGAGACTATTTACATCACCATTTCACTCCCCATTTGCACTTTATAAAAATAGACTCCATCAAAAAGCCATTAGTTGGGTAAAAGCTCTGGAGGTCAGCCTGGCTAGCGCAGCTCGTGGAAGGGGCTCGATGTGGTGTTGGAGAGGGCCAGGACGGGGGCGCCAGTCACAGGCTTGAGGGCTGCTGCTGCTGCTGCTGTAGGGCGGGAGCCGGCTCGCAGTCCTTCAGCCCCTCGTCCTCTCCCCTCATGTACATGAGGAACAGAGTCACAGTGGCGAACGTGGCGGCGTTGACGGGGAAGGCGCGCAGCAGAGTGGAGGTGAGCCCTCGCGTGAACACCCTCCAGCCTTCTTTCTGCCAGCTCTGGCGCACGCAGTCCGCAATGCCGTTGTACTGGTTGACCCCCCCGACCCCGTCGGCCTGCAGTCGGGACTTGATCACGTCAGCAGGGTAGGTGGAGAGCCAGGAGGCGATGCCTGACATGCCTCCGGCGAATAGCAGCTTAGGGATCATGAAACGGTCTTCGGGCTCACAGCCCAGGGACCGCGTCAGGATGTCGTAAGTGAGGAAGTAGAACCCGAAGGCTGGGGTCTCTCGGATCAATGTGGTAAGCATGCCCCGGTTGATGCCCCGTACCCCCTCCTTCTTGTAGATCCTCACCAGGCAGTCCAGGGAATTCTTGTACAGGCGCTTCTTGGACTTCTTCTCTCCCGTGCCCTGCAGTTGCATGCGAGTCTTGGCTAGTTCCATCGGACAGCAGATGATGCACTGGATAGCCCCCGCTGCTGAGCCAGCCAGAAACTGGTTCAGCGGGGTGTCCTGGCCCAGCCGCCGCATTGCATTACCTTGCACACCAAACACAATGGCGTTGATGAAGGTCAGCCCCATCATGGGTGAGCCAATGCCTTTGTACAGCCCAAACATCTGTAGACACACAGGGGGAGGGGATGAGTGAGGGGAAAAAACATACAGTATTATTTGAATGCAAATTAATAAACTGGATCTTGTAGTCTTGTTATACCGTTATATTTTTGGAATTTTGCTTAACCTGACTAAACTTACAGTACATGGAGCCTTAAGATTCTCTGTATCAGACTGACTCAAGTCCATTCCATTACTGCATACTTGTTTTAGGACTTCTATTAGTTCTACTAAATAGAACTATTTAGTTCTGGACAAGTATGGCCTTACTTTCAGAACTATTCCATTAGCTATCTTATGATTCACTTGTGTTTAGCAGAAATTAATTAATAATCAATAAGGTTGTCAGTGATTTTATGGATCAAACTGAATAAGCTACTGTCTGCTGATATTGAATATTGTTTTCACACTCAATTTACTATAACAAAAGCATTGCCGTTCTTCAGCAGAACAGAGAACTGACGATCATTAATTCCAAAACTTAATTTACCTTATAATTAATGTAAACTTAGTGCTCCTATTAACAATAGAGGAATGTGAAATATACATAGTGATGTCCTACAAACTCAAAATAAATCTGGAGCAGTAAAGATCCCCTTTCCTTCCTAGTAATTAAATCTTCCCTTATAAAACCAAATCTATAAGTTTACAATGTGCATCATATTCAAGCGATATTATATAAAAGTATTAAGTCGTATTAAAACTTTTAAGATGTGAAAAAAATATTTGCTTTCAGAACAAATCCAACTCATTCCTTGAAATGTGGGTGCCTTTTCAAAGCTGACAACAAATGCGATTCAGCAAGACGCCCAGTCTTCAGATTATCTGTGAGTTTCTAAAGGTCAGGTTGTAAATGGGAAGCAGTTTCTAGTGTGATCTCTTTCACAGCTTGTCATAAATATCCTTCTATTCAAGTGATTTTAAGCACTGTTTGAATGATAGTATAGCCTATTTTCTTTGCATTCCAGACTTTTCTCTCAAAATCAGTCAAAGACCATGAATACATCCACAAATACGTTGATAAGATATACAATAGATCAGTCCAAAAACAACAGCACATTTCAAACTGGGGGATGATAAAGATAAAGTTTTAGCATAAGTACAATTTGTTGCAAAATAGTTTCCTCTATAAATATCACAGTCTATTTGCATCCTTACGTTCAAACAGGATCCTATAGCATGGCTCATATGACATCTGGTGTGCCCCCTGCTTCTTTCACTATGAGGCCACCACTCCTGCCTCTACCCTTCTGCCAATCATCACAGCAAGGTCCTTAAACCACAGCTGAGCAGAGACCTCACTTACAGGAAGCCATGCTGTCAGGGCCACAGCTCAGGTAAATCTAGGTCATAGGATACATGAAGAGGAGTCCAAATACATAGCAAACAAACAGATTATGCAAATCTTAGTTGGGATGTTCAACTATATGATGTTAGGGTTAGGAGCAAATCTAATGCAGAAAATGCAACACTTCAGATTTTAAAAACTTTGATTTTTACATATAAACAATGGCCCAAGTTTGTTAATGTACAACTATCCAACAATTAATCCAATACAGACAGGAGGTTCAGTTAGTCTTTAAAAAACTAAAATACCCCAAAAGGTTTATACAGACCTCAAGGTGTTAAGTTAAAAAGGTCACCTTCTCCTGTAACTATGATGCACAATCCCAGTCCAGGAGGGCTCCTGTTCTACCTCCAGTCTGAAGACCATAATTGAGTTAATCACTAACTTAACTGGACCCATTTAACACTTTTCCATGGCCTTCAGCTGTTGTTGATTTAAAGAGACCTAGAAAACCTCCTGGAATCTGACCCTTGAGGTCTGAAGGTGGGCACCACTGCCCCATAAGTTTCAAAAATCAGCCTCCTACTACTCACTGACCAGTCCATAATTATCCAGCTCAGGAGAGGAGGTCAGAGGTTGGAAAGTACTTTGCAGTTTTAGGCAGCGTCCCATTTACATCAAACAGTATTTCAAATGGTTGACACTGTACTTTTCAGCTTACTGTATCATGTACATTCTCCTAGAGGCTTCTCGGATTTCTTCACAGCTAAGAGCAAGTGCCCTGTGACTCGCATTTCAGTCACACAGAAACATAAGATGTGATCCAAGACCAGCATATGGCCCCCCCTAACTACAAAGGCTTACAAGGAGAAAATCAAAAAAAGGACAATTTGAAATAATGCTGCACTAAGACAGTCAGTCAATGTATTCCTCACAATCCTTTGACAACAATACAGGATCTATTCGATAAATGTTTGTGTAGTAGAAAAGAGCATAGCTGCTCAACTCTGGCTCTGCTTTATCAGTCAGACTCATCTCCATCACCAATTTTTTTAATCGGAGTATTAAAACAATAGAATTACAATTACTTCTTAGCTATGTGATTCTATTGTGGTCTCTACACAGCCACATAAAGAAAATGAACACACACCAGGGTAGGTAACATCTAGCAAATATTACATTAACTTTTTATTTAGCACCTTATTAAGATCTTATTAATAATTAAGATTATTAAGAAAGAGATGGCTGGCATTAAACACTTTTATTAATTCAATTAAATCAGTTCTCAAAAGAACAAAAAAACAATTAAAGGAGGTACTCATGGATCTATAATATGCAATAGCTGAGAAATGCAATAATTAATATTTAATAAAATGGGCTGCCAAGCACAGTAACTATGTTTACTTGACAGGTGACCAAAGCCCATCTAGATATTGAAAGTACATATTTTTTCCAGCTTCAGTAAGTCTATAGTGTTTATCCATACTGCACTCTCCCCACTGGAACCAAGCCTGGTGTCTCTTCTGTCTTTGCTGTGCTCCCTGCAGTCACACAAGCCCATAAATCACAAGATACAGTAGATCACGTTCCTATCAGGGCCGTTATAACATTCTCACATTCTAACCTTCTGTGGCAATCTAATGCTTTAATGCTCTGATCCCAACTTAGCAACAAATACAAGACCAAATTCTGCACAAAAGAAAATATACAGTTTCTGCAAAACAACTTTACATCCTCACTCCTTATTAATTCAGTCTTTCTTAGACTTTAGTAGGAGGACAGAAGTCAAAACAAAGAATATACAAAGAAAAAATGGAATTAATACTCTGGAAAAAAAATATTTTCATACTTACAGACTCCTGTCTTATAATAGACTGGAAACAGTGAAAAGTCCCCCGATACAGAGGCTTGTCAACATTCTGAACCTGGAGTCTAACCTGCAAAATAAAGAGCCCTGTGTTAGTAAAGAATCAGCCAAGGGAGAACAACGCCTTTTTACAACCAGCACTTCAATTTGTCACAAGGACTGAAACTATTTTTTCTAAGCAACTTAGCAGAGAAAAAAAAAATCAGAAATGAGTCAATATCTAGGCTTAAAATGAAGTGAATGTGGATGGAATCTAAGATGTCCTTTAAAAAAAAGTGAGGTTCTTAGTTTTATTTAACTGAAACAGGTTTATGGGTTGTAACTACTTCTGGGTCTTGTGTGTTTGGTTTTTGTTTTTTGGCCACACAATCAAGACTGAGAGAAACAGAAGGATTGACCTTGACTGTACTTACTAGGTTACACTCCCGTGAAGAGGTTTATCCCTCATCTACAACAAAGTAACACTTTTGCTGTTAACGAAGACAGCCCCTGGCTCAGAGATAAAGGCAGTTAAAGGCAAAAAAGCAAAATGGGACAAAAATAAAATAAACATGATACATTGCATCAGTAGGTCAAGGAATACGCCTGATCCAGTTTTAATTTCTACTCTCAAGCTAGGTACAATTCTTAACCTTGGCTTTTTTAAGAAAAGCAACAAGGTTGCAATTTCGTTGGCGCTACATCATTACACCTCCATGTACACCAGTCTCTACCCTCAGTCTGGGGATTGCAACATGAATTTCTGTGGCTCTGCTCAGCTGGAGGAAGGCATCCTATGAAAGTTAAATATTTCAGGACGGTACCGTCCCAGTTCAAGTATTCCAGCATCAGATTGCCTAAGGAACACAACATCAGAATCATTAAGCTTTCAGTGAGCTCATCACTTAAAACTGCCGAAATGCAGTGTATTGGGTTGTAATAAAACCACACTGAAGTGAGGTGTTTTATTTCTCTTCTTAACTTAAAGAGCTTATGTTCACCTGGAGCACATTCATCTAATGTATTGTTATACTTAGTACCATAAATACTAACAGCCCCTTTGACCCCTTGCTCATACACCACGTGCTTAACAAAACCCCAGACTGAGGAAGAAGAGAATAGGAAAACACTCCTCATAGCTGCCAGTCAGCAGAACAAAGCAGTCCTAAGTGGACCTAGAAACTGAACTAGTGCCTTTAACAGCCCTGCAGAACTCAGCACTTTCACAACAAAAACTAGTTATTTCGGGAGAGCTTTAGAATCTGCATTTTTAAACCACAGGTACAGCTATAAATGTGGCGTTGTCAAAGATTTCTATATTATATTTAGTTTTTTTTTTTTAATGTTTTTGCCTCATAGCATTTCGCCTTTAAAATTTCTGTACAAAAAACAAACAAAATACTCTGTTATTTAAAATTAATTTTACCGGAAAGTCTGGTGGGGCATCTTGTATACAGAGGAGTCCTGGAGTTAACAAAACATAACATTCAAAAATACAGACCCCTAAAAATGTTAAGAGAAATAGAGAAGACAAAGTAGCGCACTTGCACTAAACTTTTCAACAACAGATAGTGAAGTGGCATCTGCTAATGGTAAATTTACACATAGTGCAGTTTGCATGTTAGTTGGCTGGTTATTCCTGGGAGGACAAGGGAGGGTATTAGGAAGAAGACCTTTAGGTATATTGCTTGGTTCTTTAAACAAGCTGATTAACTGTTTTCACTGTAACTCACATGATAACTTTACCATGCAGTTATTGTCTAGGCATCTGAATTATACAGTATATACATAATATGATATTAAGTGCTGTAATATAAGACGCATTCCATTATGTTCACCAGTTCAGAGAAGCTTGTGTCATAGCTATTAAGGGACTGCATGCAGTATAATATTGTTTAATAAAACAGAAACCGCTCATATTGTGAAAATTATACCAGACCTTGACCTCAACAGTGTTTTTGTTAATGTATAATAAAAAGAGAATATTGCTTTTCTATGCGAGACATTCTTATTATATGACATGAGCACAGTAAACCATCACAAAACCGTCTATAAGATGAAGTAACTGTTCTACAAAGTAGCTGTGCTAACATTCAGCCTATGGCCAAAAGACAAGAGTCAATGTCAATACTTCAGAATAGCATCCGAGTGCTTTTGATTTTTATTTGGTTCAATTTGGAAAGCAAGCATTCATTTCTTTCAGATAATTTTTAGAGTTCACATACAATATAAGGCTAATTGACATTTCTAGCTCTATTAAGGCATGCTTCCTGCAATCATATATCCACATGTAAAGAAATACAACAGATTCTTCACTGACCTAATAAGGGAGAAAATGTTATTTTTATTTAATTCTGGAAATGTTTCATAGAACATAGTTACACAGATACTATAAAATTTAAATCCAGGTAATCAAACATTTAGGTTTTGAACCCACCTTGACAGTGTCAAACGGGTGTCCTACTATGACACCAGCAGAACCTGAAACAGAACAGAAGAGAAACCATTAATTGTACACTGGTCGGTATGCACGCAGACTACCCACAATACCATTTTATAGGTTTGAGGGTAGGTGCATCTCTCTCTTCTTCTTACAAATAAAATGATAACCTTTATTTATGAATCACCATTGTAGAACACTATAAATAGTGACAAGAAAAATATAAAAAAAACAAGTAAAAAAATGAACTTAAAAGTTTTAAGTTTAGATATGAAAATAGTCAAAGATTTTGCCTCTTGAGTTGGATGAAGAGCATTTCTAAAACAAAAGAGCTGTGACAGAGAAATCAGTCACCAAACGTCCAACATCTAGGTCTAGGTACAGTGAGCAAAGGACCAGCCTCAACTGAGCAGAGCCTACGGAAGGCTGCATAAACATGGTGGACCCAAATGATTTAGAGCCTTAAAAGGCAGTTGACAAGATCTTACATTAAATATGTGACTTTAGTGGCAACCAACAGAGATTTAAAATGTAGGAGTGATATGCCAGGGTCTGGTGAGTTAGAAGTAGAGCTGCAGAGTTTTGGACGTATTGCACCTTACTGGGTTTTAACGTAAATCTGAGTATTATTCACATAACAAGGAAACTGAAGACCGTGTTTGCATATAAATAATAAAAAGCTTTGGGCCCAAAGACCAAACCCTGTTGTGGCACACGATATTTAAGTGGGGCCATGCAGGAGTTATGAGGACCAAAAAAAAACAAAAAAACTATGAGGAACAAAAAGCTGCCTGCCAGTCAGATATGAGGAGAACCTGTTAAAAGCACAGTCATTGATAGACAAGTATGAGCAACACTGATTGATTTACTGTATTAAAAGCAGCACTAAGATCAAGCAGCATACGAATATTTATAGCCCTTTAGTCAGACACAAGAAAATCATTCCCAGCCCTGATCAGAACACTCTCACTGCTATGATTACTGAAAAAACAGGACTGGAATGGTTCAAACAAATCATTAGCTATCATGTGAGCCTGTAATTGATGTGTAACCACAAGTTCTAAAACCTTACATAGAAATGGTAAATTAGAAGTTGGTCTGTAGTTCATCATTGAAATAATATGATCTAAACCAGGTTCTTTAGTATTTGAGAGATTCTACAGTAAAGGGCCTGAACTATGTCAAGTGAACTTGGTCAAGCACAGGGTACAAAATGCCACAGAAAGATGAACAGGATAAGACTAGGGTTGGAAGGTGCCTGTAGCCTGGATAACCTCATATCACCCCACTGCAGAAGTCTACTACAACTAGTCCCTGTTTTTTACTCATTGATAATTATCAGAGTATCAAAGTACAGCAGTGGATGTTGCATATGGAGTAGCCTTGCTATAAAGAAGTACTAGTTTATGTCCAGCGGCATCTGGGGTGCCAATGCTTTACTTTAAGATATAGAAAGACACCCATTTACAGAATCATACAAAAAAATCTTGCCTCGTCTTAATGGCCTAAAAACAATGGGGAGTGAAGATTAAAGAAATACGGTCTGGAGTTGGTGACATTCGTGGTTTGCGTGCAAACTGGGCGTTATCTGAAGTTACTTGGAAAACAGACAAAGGATACATGGGCCTCAGTCATTTACTCTGTTGTGTAACATGTTCTCAGTGCACTTTTGAATGAATCTGAAGACTTATTTTACTAGGCTGACTCAAAGGCATGGTCCCATATAACGCTTGACATTGCTGAGAATTTTTATGCAGGGTCTTTTCATGGTGACATACCACCCAAAAACAATTTTACTGTCAAGCTTTGTCTTTTACAAATCTCTTTATTCTACCTGTATAAAATCCTCCCTCAAATTCTGGTCTTATAGTTTGCCATTGATAGGAAAGTTAATTATGATTTAGTCTGGGCTTATAGCCCCAACCCACTGTTGTCTGTTTTGAAGATGAAAGAAACCTTGGCAGCTTATGGCACCTGTGTGCCACAATGCCAGTGTCTGCACACACACTACATCTGACTTGTTTCACAAACACATCCCAGCTCCCCCACGATCACTGTGGGATCTGCTTCCAGAAGATCAGTAAATGGCTGGCATTACCACAAGCACTGAAAAGAGAAACCTGTGGGAAGTATTCTCACCTTTATATATAAAACAGGCACTGAAAACAAATGTTCAGTCTCTGTCAAAAGGTATTGTAACCCAAGTACACCAACACCCTACCATTAGCTTCACTGTGAAGCCTGAGTGGTGGCTTCACAGCTCCACGGTCACGGTTATTGTGCCAGTGTGTGAGCAAGTGCTCTAGTTCCTTCCACTTTACAGAAATATAGTGACTAGGTTTGGTGGCTCATATTCCCAATGTAAATTAAAAATAGGTTTGATTACAAGAGAAGGGCAATTGGCCCATCTAGCTTGTTTGGTTTCCAATAGTTAACCTAGTGAAGAATCTTACCTAGGCATTTTCTGAGAGAATCAACAGCATCGGCTTTGAAAACACGGTTGGGTCACTTGTTCTAGGCTCTCATAAAGCAAAAACTAATATTGTACAAATCTCCACACTTCTCCAATGGACTGATAAACTGTCCAGGCTGTCATCTGCTCTCAGGCCCTCCCTGCACTCCATGCTTCCAAGACTGGCTTGCTGTTAATGATGACTAATGGATAGTTATGTATAGGACTGACCCGGAATATCTACCTTAACCCATGCATACCTTTGCATTTCAACTAAAAGCATGATAGAAGAAAAAAAATCCAGACCTTCTACTTGCTGAACATATTTCAGATTTAAAGCAGAGTTAAACCGTCTGTGGCAAATCCTAGCATGTAGAACCGCATACACGCCCTATTCATAATTTGAAGGATTTCAGTACAAAAGAAAAAGACAATCCCTTTTATTTAGCTTCTTATATTAGATGCTCCCTACAAACATTTAGCAACTGCTAGTATTTAAAATAGGGTGTGGTATATTACCTACAAACTGTCTAATTGCATTTCCATGGCAACTGGCCTGACCGACAGGTGGGAGAGCAATGACAGGCTGCCAGAGTAGAACTAGCCTACTCCACACAGCCTCCTCAAGGACAGGCATGACAGTCAAGTACTGGAAATAGGTTTCTTCTTTGTTCACCACTACTCCTGTCTCAGTGCTCTTCAAATACTCTTGCTGAAGGATAACTCAGATCCTGGCTTCATACAGCAGAAGAAATGGATCTGGCTGGTTGTTTTTAACGCCAATAAAAAGATTTTGCAGAGAGCCACCGCATTCCCTCCCTAGTAAATCCTGCCCTATTTTATAAGGAGCTTATGAGGTGGACAGGGCACTTGAAGGGCTACTAGTGATGTAGTTAAATCCTTACTGCATTATATTATTGTAGCTATCTGAATATTTTTGGGGTACCTAATCTATGAGGAGTACCACATATGTGATAGAACAAACAGTACTACAGTCTCTGCCCACTCTGTTTCTAGAACAATTTTAAATGAAAAAAAAATGGTTTGCAGAAAAACAGCCTTCCAGGACCTGAACACTTCTTATGGGATATCTGCTAATCATCTAGAAGCTCTTTATATAATGTTTACCGAGTGTTATGCTTCTGTATGGCCTGGTTCTCTGGAACTCAAGCCTACCATTTATGAATAAATAATTAATAAAGATAGGGCATGTATCTAATCTATTCTCACCATTTGCCAATGTTTCCCAAGCCTGTAAAAATAACTGTGCCTGCAAGTATGCAAGGGGGCTCGTCCGTGCTGGCCAATTACAGACAGACTCCACCCTCAATCAGTGACCTCATCTACTGAGTTTGTAAGAGTTTTTCAGCAGATGATCAGCTGCCCTCTGCAGCAGTCTAAGAGTACGTGAATTTGAGTCACATTTGCGGTACTGTGCAATACGTACTGTACAATCTAGATGATAGGTCTTTAGGGTCAAGTTTTATTTGTACAAGAGGGAGGCACAGAATGCTACCATTGCATATTATTTGTACAGATTTAGTTTTTAAGCAATACCTAGTCATGCGATACAAAAGTACTACATCCCACAGCAAAGATCACAGCAACCTTGCCAATCTCACTGATTAAAACAGATCATGTGATTTTATATATATGGCAACACTGTGATACACCTGGCTGTGGTAGCCTACCTTCATTAAATCATGTGCACTTAGATTTAATTTAATGAGAATTAAAACATCTTTCATTTTAACACTGTTCTTAACACTGAAATGGACCATAGAATTTTAATTTGCACAAGTAGTATATCCGGTTATTCATACAGTACAATGAATGTGGACAAGCAGAAAACAGGGACTGGCTTTGATAATCAAGGAGCCAAATTATACTTGGAACAAAAAACATCTCAGAATAAAATAGGAAGCTCATACTTTGTCATTAAAGCACTTGATCCATTCACAAGCAATAAACAGCAACAAATTATAAATGACAGTAACTTGGTTGACTGTGTAAAGCATGTCTTTACCGAACAGCACAGTGCCATGGTATATGTAGTAAAAATGTGAAAGATCTCATTGATATCTTACCAAGCGTTTGGATGTTAATTTTTCAAAATTGCAAGCTATGATCCGTCCTCTTAATTTAATTACCACTCACAAAGGTAATCCAAATATCCCTTGGATATGAATAACCAGATGACTACGACATGCTTTGCTCCCGACTTGTACCTCTTGTCATGTTTGTGTAACCTTTCTCTTCTTTCTTGTACCATACCATTTTAAAATTTAACAACAGTCCATGAACTAGCCCAAATTTGACAAAGACTTGAATCACATTGTCAAAGAGGATCCCATCTTTTGCAAAGCAAAAAGACTGCTAGTAGCCTGTGCACATCTACAGGCGAGAGCAGAACGCTAACAATCACCACCATTTACAAAGAAACTCTTGAACACCTTCATTTGACCATCTAAAAATTTAACATAACGTTTACATCTAACCTGACCTATTCTATGAGATGGTGCTCACAATGGGAAGTCAGATCTAATAAACAGCTGAGAGTATGCAAAGTTTTGAAGTTAAGATACAGTCGAAGACAGCTCTGCTTGTGCTCATGTTGTATACATCTTTACATGTGTATGGGCAAGGGCAAATCTCCAGTTCTGTTCCAGCTGAATCGACCTGATCGAAAAGATAAACCTGGTATCATGAAGTCCCTGTTGAAGGGGGTATTCTACTTTTTTTTCATGGCAAATTTCACTTTTTTATATTTTAGAAACAAAAGAATAAAAACAATAAAATGGCAGAAACACGAGAAAATAAAAAAGCGAAATAGGTCATAGAGAAAGCAGGTCACACGGCGACAGCCGGGTTGTACTTTTTCCAGGACTCTTACCAGTAAACCTGCGATGCATAATTCATACGAATTCAACCCCCTTACTGAGATGTTAACGATGGGTTCCGCAGTACAACAGCCTCTTGATTTTCACTTCGACTGCTGAGTTTGCAAAGGAAACCAATCATACCGGACAAAATCCATAAATACCGGAGATGTGCATAGCGATTATTTTAGAAACACCTTAATATATGTATACATGCGTCAGTCTGCAACTCGGAGGTCCAAGAAGTTATTACGAATAAGCCTGAACTCCAGTTCTATCGCCGCGCAAACTTCCCATACATGGTAATATTTGAGCAACACAGACTGGATGCCACTGTTGCCCTTCCAACCCCTCCAATTTTCAGACACGACTGTACATTTTGATAAGGACCCCGTTCAGGAATAGGCACAATTCCAAGACATTTCTTTAAAATAAACCCACATACATTTGGGGGGGCAGGGAGGATGAGGAGGTCCTGGCAACTTTCTCACACCAGGGAGCTCCACGATCCAGGTCTCTGCATTGTTCCTGCCAGCCCCAGGGAAAAACGCAACAAACCGGAAAAGCGTCGACTTTTAACGCTTCAGTTTTGTCTGCATCCAGCATCTGAATAAAAATCACTTCCGTATTACTATCCTCCACCACAGACCAGACTCGGTTGATTTACAGAAATACAAATGTCTGTCAGCCCAGCATATCTCCGAAAAATTAAACGTCCATCGTTCACATGGCATTTTCATAAATCTAAATCTAAGTTCATGTTTATATCGATGTTAAAAAATAACTTTTAATCTTCGATGAAGACGTGGTCACAATGCTTGTAATCCAGTACGCAACAACGCAATTTACCGATTGCGCGGTACCATCGGTAGATTGTTTAGCAGATAAGATTTTATACTTTAGTTCTTGGAGTGAATAAAAAAAAGCTCACATCATTAACTCTTCCTAAAATTCAGAGTTACAAAACTACTAAACAGTCACTTTCCTGGAAAAGGTACGTAAGCCAATGCATATACTATTAATGTATTCTACCACCCACTGAAAATTCAGGATGCAAACTCATGATCTTGCTTATTCGTCCCTCGTCATCAAATTATTATACCGTAGTACATTGCTATCTTACCTTTCTTCACAGACGAGGCACTTGGTCGCGACTTGTCACCGATATCTACTCTGTAACCGTCTCAGAAAATCCGGATATAAACTCCAGGCAAAACTGACACCATGCTAAACTTTTGACTACTTCTGAAACGTACCGCTCGTTCCCCAACAAACCTGTAAAGGGAGTTCACTGCGCCTCCCCGGACAACGTGACGGTTATGCACACTTCGATCCACTGTCGTTCGTAAAGAAAACGTGGAAAACTGACCTTATAATGTATCATGGGATCCCTAAATAAAACGCATGCGATTAATCTCACATCTGGACCAATCGCAGCGCGCTCTCTCTTTGCAAGCCCCGTGGAGAAAAAAAAAAGTCCATCATCAGCTACCCACAAATCTCACAAAGGCTGCATTCTTTTCCAGTAAAAACGTTCATATCTCAGCTTACCTCCGAGACATCCAGCTACGAAGTCCAATGCCATTCCCTTCTACAACTCGTGTATCTGACTGCTCGCAGTTTTTTTACAGACGTGAGTCTCTCTTTTCGTCCACACAGGTTGCTGCAACGCGGCGACTAGTATTGCGTTATGCGCTCCTACCGATGGGATCCCAACTTAATTCCTTCTGCGTCACCGTTTAATCCCTTACCATGGGTTTCAGTCGATAGTATTTCCCTGCACACTGCGATGGAAACTGGTGTAAAATACCCCCCTTTTTAAAAATGTTATCCCCTTATTAAATACTTTAACCGTTTCCCCTAAACCGGCGACTCAAATTAACCTCCCGCCGCCTTTCTAGCTCTTTCTATTTCTGAAACAGGAGGTATACAGAATATCCTATTATAGAGCAACCGGCCGTCCAACCGCTGAGTCGCTAGGAAGACAACTCCCCCACGTGCAGTCCTCCCCTTTCAGCCATTGGGCCTGACGTCTGAAGGCGCGCAGGCGCGTTGAGGCTCTGCAGGGAAGGGAGGACCATTGAGAAAAAAGAGCACGTCTCTCGGTTCCGTACCGGCAAGTGGTGAAGGGAGATAGTTAAATCTCGATCTATAGACGTGTTTTCGTTTTCAACTTTCAATTTTCAGATTCCTGTTTGTCAAATATCATGCATGGCAATCATGGGTATGCCACCTGATATATTGCTGCTAGCTGAAAGCTGAAACGAGAGCTCAATCCTCTTATGGTTAGGGGGGGGTTGAAGGGAGAGTTTGCACCATGTGGTTTCTGAAAACCGAAACTCCGAAACACATCGACATAAAGTGAAGTAAACAAGTGTTGTTTGGTTTGTTGTTTTTGAACACATTACTTCTGAAAGGAGTGGGTTTATCATATACGTCGGATTCGAGGAAGCTGGGTCTGCATGTTTCAGCGTATCTGAAAAACGTCGCCACAGCGGTGTTCAGTACAGAAATGCTCTTGTGCTGCCCTCTCTATACAGAGTTTCTGCTTTTTATGACTTCAGACTTACAGACTCTCGTCAGTCAACATCTGACATTCCATTCGCTCACTATCCTTGACAGCAACGCGTTCCAGGTGATGTGACCAACAAGGTTTCAACACTTCAGTGATAAATTGAGGAAAGAGGCCGGCATGTCTTTGAAAAAACAGTAGGCTACTGTGGGCTAGTAGGTACATGTGACATCCAATCTGCCTTAAGCACGTGCATAGTAAAGGTATTACTAACACGCACAAAATAAGGTAGCGCCCAATCTGTCTTCAGTGAGAAATAGGAACAGTACAGCAGGTACTGGATTGGTATTTGTTTATGTTAAAGCTGCAAGCACATGACCTTCTCCTTTCTTTTGTGATAAATCACATGGTCAGAGTCCAGCGCCATAAACTAGGCGTGAAGCGACCACTTAGATGAAGGAAAACAGAATAAGGAAGACAGTGCTAGAGCAGACAGGTTATTTAAGTTTAATCTCTTCATCTCTACAAGCGTCATTGACTGGAATATTGTCACTGGAGTAGATAAACACTAGTGACAAGTCTTAGCCTTACTAATATTAGCACATCTGACATGTTAATACGTGGCTTACGACCAACAGCCAACCACACACTCTATTCTGTTGTGAAGACTAATCTGCATGCTATTAAACACAAGCCTAGCTGACATGCAGGGTCATTGCTGGACATCAGGAAGGATACTTGTATCGTCTTAGAACACTGTGCCTGCCAAGCTGTCATGTTAAGCAGAGGTTAAATTATTTCAACTGCAAGTGTAATTGAATGGTGTGATGATGAAACAGAAAAGTTTCCAAATATATAAAATCATCTCAATATTGTACTTTACGTGTGCAAAAATGAATAAAGATTATTTGCTGTATGTAAATCAAAAGAAAGGTTACAAAAATAGGACTTTCAGTTAATTATTGCCGTTTTTATTATAATAAGTCCTATGGATAAAAATGACCCAAATAAAGCACTTTATTTTTATTGCATAAATCATGCCTGATTATATTCATTACCTGAGCAATACTTTACATATAGTATATAAAGATTTATATACTTTTTTATTCAAAGCTGCTAATTCCGAAACAGGGTAGGTGGGAGAACACTGGTCTCTCTGATCATTAGCAGGCCTGAAATCAGCTTAAATACACATATAAGACAGTCCAGACATTGAACCTGTTCTCAATGGTTTAATGCACATTAAAGCCAAACAACATATCCACTTTGTGTGCTTCAAAAGATCAATGTAATGTGTTTTTACTATTCTTCCAGAGCAAAGTAAACAATACCAGAAATCATTTTCCCAGTGACCCAGAGTAATTGTGTGGTGAAATCTTCTCCTGAGTTCACTAGGATTCCTCCTATATATTTTGATAAGGTATCTTAATCCACAGAAAATGTGATCTATAACCTTTTGCTTTGATCCCATTACTACCTCAGTGTTACAGTTTTTCAGTTGTGATCAACAAATCATTATGGCTATGAATTGTGCCATCTTTACTTTGTAGTTTACACCTGTGCTAAAAATACTTTTCATTTCATACTAACTATAGATCAATTTCAGATCTTTATGATCATAGTTTTAGAGAATATGTTAAAATCCCAAATGCAAGTCCATTTAATGAGAGATTAATTCAGCCTCAGTCTTCAGACAGTTCCATAATACTGGAAAGCCCTGGTGACTAATAATCTTATCAGGGCTACAGACTCAGGATAATTGTCTATCCTTGTTCCACTGGACCTTAGTGCTGCCTTTGACTCTGTTAATCCTTCTAAAGTGCTTAGAGGCCTATGTTGGCATGTCTGTGGTTGCTTATAATTGGTTTTGCTCCATTCATTCTGATGAAAAGCAAATAATGATAAATGGATAAACAGCCTATGACACCTCTTTAATGAATTCTGGTGTTCCACAAGGCCCAGTTCAGGGCCTCCCTCTTTTTTAGTATGTGTACGTTACCGCTTGGCCAAATCATGTGTCATTATATTATAACTTCCAGTGTTACACTGATGGCTCTCAAATATATATGCAGACTAAGACAGACAGAGATCTAGATGCCACTAATCTTATACACTGCTTATCAAGTATTAAAATCAGGATGTAAAAAGATTGTGATACTCAATAGTGACAAGACAGAGGTGATTTTTCTGGAGATACCACATCAATTGCACAACATAGATGCCTTTAACATGGTGATCAATTGCTTAGACACTAGACCCATTGCCCAGGTGAAAACTCCTGAAATTTATTTTGACCTCAGTTTGTCATTTGAGACTCATGACTTCATTTTCTCTAGATTGGACTAATGTAATGCACTGCATTCTCATTCTTCTAAGCATGGTGCCAATAGACTTTAAGATGTTCAAACTTCAGCTGCTAGAATCTTAACCAGATCCAGGTCCCAATTAAAATCATTCCTCCCCAAGCATTCCCACATGAGTTCCTAGTGTCATTTACGACAGACTTCAAATTCGGGGCGGAGTGGTGGCTCTGTGGCTAAAGATCTGTGCCTGTGGCTAGAAGGTTGCCAGTTCATATCCCACAGCTGGCAGAGGAATCCTACTCCATTAGGCTCCTAAGCAAGGCCCTTAACCCCAACTGCTCCAGGGGTGCTGTACAATGGGAGACCCTGTGCTCTAACCCCAGGCTCTCTCCCAATCTGTGTGTCTCATGGAGAGCAAGCTGGGGTATGTGAAAAGAGAATTCCTAATGCAAGAAATTGTAAAGGGTTAATAAAGTGATGTTAAAATTCCTTCTCCTGCTTTGTTTCAAAGATTTGCTGGACTATTATGCACATATCCAATCTTTACATACTTTCTTCCTGTGTTTCAGTGACAAGATGCTACACCACAGTTTAAGTTTTGTTTTTTAGACAATCCCAGATGTGGACCACTCTACCAGAGACTGAGGCTTCCCTGTCTCTATCTGTCTTCAAAAGTCATTTATAACCATTTTTACAGGAAACAGAGCATTTTCTAAATTTTCCTGAATTTTGATACAAAATGCTGTATTTTGTCTCAGTATGCTCTTCCTCTTTCTATCTTCTTACTGTTGATTTGTTACCCTGCTGTAAAGTTCTTTCTAATTTCCTGACATAAGAAGTGCTACATGAAATATATTTATCATTAAAAATAAAGAATCATAGGTTTGAATGCTGAAAGCAGCTTGTGACTCAGGTCCCACACCTTCAAAAACAAATGCTTTAGTGATACAGCAAGCCCTCAGGAGCTGGAAATTCACTAGCTGTCTGATGTGCACCTCTTCTGCATTTTGCACAATAAGAAGTTTATTGTCTACTAGCTGGAGGAATAGCTGATCATAAAGCGATGGAGTTTCTATGTTGGATACTTTTTAACCATTGATATAAACAGGGTTTTTTTTCTTAAATTAATTCCTACTTGAACCTTAAAAATCTGTGCATACCTGTTTCTTACTGCAATTACCTGCAAGTGTACAATAGCAACAAGGGGGTGGGTTAGTTTATTTGTTGGGCCTTGGTTGATACAACAGAAAGGGTCATTCTGGTTTTAGCTGACTACTGTGTCTTGCTTTTAGTTGTTAGTTGCACCTTTTGTAACCCAGCAAAGTGAAGCAAGATTTGTTAAATTGTGACTAGTTCAAACTCAAGAGAACATATAACCTTAGTTCTTTGGTCAGCATCATAAGATTATTTCTTCACCCAAAGGACCCTTCTGGCAATACACAAAAAGTAGTTCAATAAACAAAAGCTTCATAATTTGTGTTTTACACAAATCCGTTAAATTATGGATGGGAATGAATTTCAGAGGAGTATCTTTGCTGTTACCACACACTATTTCAAACTGAAGGCTTAATTTACTGTATGGAAGTTATTAACTGACCTTCAGGAGGGATAATAACAAGCCAATATCACACAGCTGCACCTCATCACCATCACCACCAAACTAGCTACATAAACAGAACTCAAATGCCTCTTTTTGCATTTGTCTCAAGCATCTCTTCTCCCTCTTGCAAGTATCTCTGGTTAACTCCTCTCCGAAGAGGGGGTTCAAGCCGTCTTATCCTGTGGCCAGGAGCTTAACATTAACCCAATGGGCTGAGCCAGCCTTTTCTCACCAAGTATGCAAAGTCCTTCGATGTTGTAGTCGCTAATGAAATAATACTAATGAACAATATGTTGGTTTGATTAAGCAACTGGCAGACACAGTGAGGTTCTTGTTTCTGTAAAACAAAGAAAGAGTTCAGTTCTTTCGGCTGTTTTGCACTTTCCTGAATGCAGACTGGTATGCTGAAAATGCCCGATGCAAACATAGAATCAGTGTAAGCCTTCTGAACACGTGGCACTGTTGTTTACCAAAAACGCTGAAAAGGGGGGAGCAGGATGTTTTTGTTGAAATGCATTCTCCTTGCTCCAACAAACTGTGAGAAGACGTCCCAAGCTAATGCTCGCATTGTTATTGTTTTCCTGTTTTTGTTAATATGTTTGGAAAATTAACTTTACGTTTGTAAGAGACCATCGTCAATTCAGTGAACCCCATGACCCTGTTTTCTTTACTTCCACCCTTTTCACATAGTAAGTTAAACCTATTACTTGTTCCTTTGCAGTCTACGCATGCTGACGCAGCTACCCACTTAAACTACGAACGTTTACATTGCTGTATTCGTAAAGAAGAGGAATTCAGCTAGGATAACAACTCCAGCTCATTAACGTATACAGTATACGTCCGCACATTATGTTTATTCAGTGGACTGTATATATTTAAATACATTTAAAAACACCGTGTGAGTTCTTTTTAGCGGAATCCATGCATTTTGCTGTAATAGACCTTCTGGTGGCAGTCCGTTCCGGATCATTAGAAAAGGTAACAGAATCGGTCGATGAAGGGTTAAAAGAAAAAAACGCGATTTACTTGGGTGTTTTTTTTTTAGACGATGGCATACGAACGAACTGCCTCGGCACTTTTCGGCAATAGTCGTAAGGGCTGTTTTGTAACAAGCAGTGTTCGGAGGAGCCGGTATCAGAATTTTTCAGCCCTAATTATTCATTTTAAAAGGGCTTATTATGCCCCAAAAGCAGTTGCTTTCTGCTGTTATCAAAGATACGCTTTTTCTAAACTATGATGAACAGCGGCCTAATCAAAAGAAAGCCGTTTTAGCATCCTGTGTAGTTTAGTATACGTATATTTTTTCCGGTTTGCATACGCGAAAGACCAGTAGCTTGAAGCTAGTTACATTAAGCAAAAGACAAGCTCAGTTTTTCTTTGGGAGGAAGAGCGATGCATGTAGTCGATTTTTTAGCCGGGTCTGTTGGAGGTAAAGCGGCATTCTGTTACCAGTTTTATGCAATAGCCTGTTATTGATAGTTGAAAATTGATTTTCTTTCATTTGCCTTTCATTTGTTCTTGGAAATGTAACGTAATATTGAAGTTACCGCATAAATGTAATACTAATAGCTCACTGTAGAGGTCAAGACACCTTTTGTGACAGATATGTTTATTCAAATATTTGCGTCAGCCTTGTGTATCGTTCAATCAGTCGTGTATTCTGTAACGTTTTAAAATTAAAAATAACCCCATTGTATATTCTTCCCATATATTCTGCTTCTTTTTTCTAAACACCAAGAAATAAATAACATCGGTAAGACAATAAGCATACAGTGTAATTTTTCAACATTATGGCGTTCGAGTCGATATTAGTTTGCTATTCCCTAGTGTTCACTCGGACCTTGGGGATTTGGGAGTTTTTTTTATCATCCGATTCAAGAGAAAATGAAATTTAACTACTGTATTTAATTTCTGATCTTGACATGACCGCATTTTGTCTCAGTCACAAGGACCACGGGATTGTGCAACTCGTGATACAATACAGGTGTTGAAACAGGCCTAGTCCTTAATTTCTGTTTGGTGGTTGGCGAGTGGTGTACAACACAGACAAATGCTGATGACCTTGAACAGTTCAACAGACCACGATTTCATAGGATTAATTTATAGACGGTGTTAGATGGCATGCGGCATTAAAGGCTGGCGATATTGTGGTCTGGTAAGCCTCATCAATTTTAAAACGGAGTTGGTGGTGTTGGCATTTGTTAAATCCTTTCCTTGCTTTGGAATGTAAATCAACAGGTCTTTATTACTTGTTTTGGTTAACATTATAGAACCTTTAATAAAGGTTAAAGCTTTATTACATGCCCTGAATTGCTCCTTATTTACCCTTAGGTATTTACACTGTAATGGGTTAGAAAGGGTTTGAAGCAATGTTTATAATCGCAAACCTCTTTTGCTTTCCTTTTTTCCATTGAAGTCCATGTAGTGGCAGGTGTTTATTATAACATTTCAAAATAAATAACAGAGGCTTCCTACTAGGAGAGACTCGTTCAATCTTATATTGTGTTTCTTTGATTTAATTCCCTCAAGTTTCTTATTTGTGTTATCCATAAAAAAGGCAGTGCATTTTTCCAGTATATTTTTAGCATGTCATTGCTAGTCCACTATTTTCTGACATCTCATTTTGTAAAAGTTTGAGATTCATTATTGTAGCACAGACTGTACATTATTCCAAGCCCTCAACAGTGTAAGGATCTACGACAGGACATACAATTATATCACCTCTATTGTGGAATGAAGGAATTTAATTTCCTGCTATGAAGTCTCTAAATGCTTTCTCAGTCAGAGAGGCTGTACAATCAATCCAATTAAAGCTGTGTGATTCAAGGGCTCAGACAGAAACCGGGACAATTTAAAAGACTTGAGCTCTCCACTCCCCAGTTAGTGCACAAGCTGCTGAAGACAAGTAGAGGTTAATTACGCACTGAAAAAAAAGAAAACTGATGTCAAAGGCAGAAATGTACAGTAGGTAGGACCAAGAGAGCAGCAATATGGGGCAAAAGGGGGGTTGAGGAAAATGTGAAAATAAGGGAGGGAAAGGGTGAAAGGAGGCTAAACTGATGGAAATCTGGACACTATTGGACCTTTTCCAGACAAGTGTCAGTAAACACAAGTCATGGTTGGAGTAACATTTGTTGCATCAGTATTTTTCAAAGTGTTCCTGCTTTAATTAAAAGCATCTTCAGAAGACATTACCTAAACCATATTACATCCAGCCCTGGTCCTGGGGAGCCCCAGTCTTCTTAATTTAATAAACCACCTGTTTAATTGATTTCAGTAGAACTGTTCCATATCCTCAGAAAGTGGAGGATTATGGTGACTTACAAAACATAGTGGCCTGAGGCTCTCCAGGTTAGTTGAAGCACCCTGACCTAAATTATAAATTTATGGAAGTTGTTTAAGGAACATTCAAAAATGTGTCTAAAATGAGATTGAGGAAATGCAGTTGTAAGATCTATATATAAACCTCTGTAGTGATTTACAGTATGTGAGAAAGGATCTTCTTTACACTTGTGGTTGGGGCATTTACTAAGATGGATTGTGCTGTATATTAACTTTCACTTTTCCGTAGGAGCCCTCGGAGTGGTTGTGGGTTATCCCCTGGACACGGTTAAGGTATATCCTGCATTCTCATGGGAGAAATATTGTGGTTGTTGTGCCTGTTCTTCAGTGTAGTAAAATAAACTCTGTTCTTCAGGTGAGAATACAAACGGAAAGAAAATTGTTGGGGGCATGGCAATGCATTCACACCATTGCGAAAAAAGAAGGGGTGAGCACTGTAGCATTCTGCACCTGATAATAAAAATGGCTCTACTGCATCAAACAGGTGACACAGCATCCAGTGCCTAACCCAGGGCTCTCACTCTTGTGCAGGTCAATGGGTTTTTCAAAGGCCTAACAATGCCTTTGATCACGGTGTCCATTAGCTCTTCTGTGACCTTCGGCACCTACAGGAACTGCCTGCAGTGTCTGCGTCAAGTGCGCTGTGGCAGTCTGGAAGCCCCCACCTCCAAGAGTGACATTTTCCTGGCTGGGCTGGTGGCAGGTGTGGCACAGGTAGAGAACACACATGTGGGGTCTGGTCTGTGGAAAGACAAGTCTTGGCACTTCACCTTGCAGTCTCTACTCATACGGCACCTCCGACACATGGGGCTTTTGCTTTTATTTTTTGGCGAAAATGGCAACATTCCTTGTATCCTTTTTCATTTTGACATTTTTTTTAGCTAACTAAAATTAGACTTCCTGCTCTATCTCTTTTGCTTTCTCTTTGGATTTTAAAGTTTAGGAATTAGTAATAGTAACAGTAATCTCTAAACACAAAATCTTAGTACAGGAAATCAGCATTCAGGTTGGATAGGTTTTTGGAATCCTGAACAATTAGGTGGCCCCAATTACAGGGGATACATTAAAATTATTTTTATTATCTAAATTAGACCAGGCTTACTAACAGGAAGGCATTACATAAGTTCTGTATGTACTACTGGGGAATTGTTTAAGAAAAACAATGTGTTGTAGGATTTTTTTCTGTGGCTTGTTTTGACTGTTTGATAAGCAGCCTCTTGTTATAAGCATAACAATCTCTATCTTTATTTTAACCTGTTAAGGTATCGGTGATGTCTCCAGCAGACATCGTGAAAGTGCGCCTTCAGTGTCAGACGGAGCCTTATCGGCCTGTTCAAGGCTCAGGTTTGCTCTCCAAACCCAAATACCATAGCCCTGTGCACTGCTTGCTCACCATCGCCAGGGAAGAAGGCATGCTGGGACTTTACAAGGGCGCCACAGCTCTGTGTCTCCGGGATGGCCCCTCCTTTGCTACATACTTCCTGACCTACTCGGTTTTCTGTGACTGGCTGACACCAGCTGGGAAAAACCAGCCAGGTAAAGCATCTCTTGAAAACCTACCAGGAAACAATAAGTAAGAGCTATGGATATTCTAAATTATTGGCAGGATTGCTTGTTCTGCGCTAACCCACTTTTAGAAATAACCTATACCTCAAGTGAGGCGTGTGGTGTGATTCTTTAACAATATGGGTCCTGTGTGTTCTCTTGCAGAGTGGTGGGCGGTTTTGGTGGCAGGAGGTTGTGCAGGAATGTGTGGCTGGTCCATTGGCACTCCTATGGACGTGATCAAATCCCGGCTACAGGTGGATGGGGTGAGGAAAAAAAGATACAACGGAATAGTGCATTGCATCTCCGAAAGCATCCAGAAGGAGGGGTTGACGGTCCTCTTCAAAGGCCTGGGCCTCAACTGCCTCCGCGCCTTCCCAGTCAACATGGTGGTGTTTGCAACATACGAGATGGTCATACAGCTCCTCCACAAGTCTTTGTAGACCAGGGAATGGCCAAGTCAGAATCTGGAGGGTATCAAGTCAACAGCTTTTCTTAGAACTCCTTGTAGCAGGAAAAACAAGGAAAGACACTGGAAATAATATGAGACAGCCCTTCAAGGCACTAAAGAAGTTTTATTTTTAATAGAATGAGCACATTCTCTTAATGCAAAACCAGCATGTCTTCAGCTGAGGCACATTTGAGTGCAAGGCGCCAAAATAATAACCCAAGCTCTGCAAAACAAATGAACGAACGCAGGTCTGGTACTGTGATTCTTGTCCTGATGGCTTTCTGGTTTCTGGTCTGGCCATTCCGTCTGTTGACTAAAAGGGAATCTGAAATGCTTACAGCATAGCTGGGAAAGGGAATTCACAGACTCAGTGATGCCTCTTTGCTCCAGTCTGCCTGCAAGCCTTTCATAGCTGTTATACCCATTTTTGTTTTAATTGTAAACACTAAGACTACTACAGTTAGTTTATTATACAAATAATAAAACTGATTACAGTGTGATTCATCACCTTTTCTTCAGAAGGTGGGCGTTTTCAAGGTGGGCGTAAACCAAAATAAGATCAAATAGATAAAAGCAGTGCAGTACTGTATTTGCAAGTGCTATCAGACGGCACAAAGCTGGAAGCAGATTCCTTATGTTGTGGAAATGTTCTCTCTGTAGCCAAAAGCCTTACGTATGGGTATACAATGGGGGATTAATAAGGGTTTTACGTTTTGTGCCGTTTTGGCTCCTCTGACCTTCACGTAGCTGTCAGAAATAGCTGGCATTTCAGATACGTGTTTTAGCTTATGTTTTGTGACATGACTTATCACAAATTGTACACACTGTGCAAGATTACATTTATTTGTAGATTTTTACATAATCCTAATTCAATGTAAAACATTGATGGGATAAAATGCATTCAACTAAGTTTTTAAAAAGCCTTTGATCTCCTGTCAGGCTTTATTTGCTATGAATGTGCTTGTATAAATTAAAAAAAAATGACATTTCATTGAGGCAGATAACATTGCTGGACTTCCCAAATGTGACTTAGTCATGGTAAATCAGTTGCTTTCCATTTGTTAATTATGCATTGAATGCACCGCACTAAGGCTTACCAGCGACTTCTGTTATTTCAGTTACTCACTTCTATGTTGCTCAGTCACAACCACAACAAATAAACACCCCAGAAACTGAATTAGGAACTTCTCTTGTAATTAATGACAGCAGCACATAACATTTAATGGGCTTTTTTATTGAACATGTACCATGCATTGGATGACATGATCGATTCACGTTTAGCTGTAGTCTTTGATGCAGTGTGATGGTCTCTCCTTGGATTTGAAAACCACAATTTGCCTCAGGGTTAATAATATACTTAAGAGATGGAAGTCTTCTTGTATTAGTAGTCAAAAGCCAGTTTCCTGGGAGTCATGAACTGCAGCACAGTCTCATCTGTTACTAGTTTGCGTCTCTCTTGGTGGGCTGAGATCATGGGCTGTAAGGTCTCTATCAAGCATTTCTTCAGTTCTCCTGTCAGAAGGGCTCCGCTTGTATAGTCCTGAAAAAACACGAGAAGCTCATGTTCGTGCAACCGATGATCGGGTCTATCATGTGATCTTTTAGCTCACCAACATGTGATCACCGGTTTTTCCAGAATAATCATGCCCCAGAATCAGTCATAATGAAACAACACATTGCAGATGTGTTAATGGCGTGATGCATTATATTTGTATTGTTCAAGTTAAAATACTGTTTTCATTAGAAACTGTAGCATTTTAAGCACCTAATGTTTAGGAACATGTTGAGGCCAATTAAATGGCACCTCAGTTCTTTAAGGAAAATTCCATACGTTCTCTACTTAACCTTCAGAAAACAGAAACCTAAATGATTGTTGGACAATTTGAATGATTGCTAAAAGCACAAAGGAGATGCTTGTACTGCACTATTTTTTAACCAAAATTGTATTCTGAACACGCACTGCTACTTTAGATTGCAAAAATAGTATTTGTCACATTTCTCGTTAAACTCAACTGCAAAGCACATCTGTATCATCAGGGAGTAGATAATGTTTAGTAAGGGTCACAGACATTCACAACTAAGTTGTCCCTGAATCCATAACTAGTTTAGGGATGAGAATGTGTTACAAAACAGAATTAGTGCTTTCCTCATGATAAGCCGTTAAAAGGTTCAATGTTCATTCAGACTCATTCCTCATAAGAGGGCCAGAATGTCAGAAACGCTGTTGGCTAACTGCTTGAAATACTGACAGGAGTGCTTGGGGATGATCAAGCCTCCTTCTCACCTGTCTAATTTTCTCCAGCCGTTCGTCATCTTCCAGGAAGAAAGTCAGGTACATGAAAGACACATCCACATCAGGGTTGCCTCCATATTTTCTGTGCTCTTCAATCGTGTCTTTGCCACCAGAGAAGGCATGCTTGTTGATCTATTGTGAATGTTAAAAAATTAAGTTATATACACTGAAGTACTATTTCTTGTTGTACATCTGCTATTATCTCTGCATGCTCAGGGAAAGAATAATTAAAACAGAGTTCTACTTAAAATACCAGATTGTCTTTTTTATAATTCCTGTCTTTGAATGGATCTAAGGCCCTGTTCACAATATGGTTTTATCTAGCCCTAACTGTCTGGTTAGTTTAGAGGTCTGTGCAAATGGTAAAGTTCAATCACAAACCATGTCCACCTTGAAAAGAAGGGTATAGTTAGCATTAGAAACTTGAATGTGAATGAAATTCACAGGGACTTTATTAGCAAACAGGTAATATAATATATGGCAACAGCTCACAGCATTACAGCAAACCCATTATGCGATACAAGAGGAGATGAGAGAGAAATATGGTCGGGTGAGCGCAGTTCAGATAGTGGTTGATAAAAAACAAAATACAAAATCTGTTTTTATCTCAAATCCCTGAAAGAAAAAGGGTTTATAAGAGGCGGCGATGAACGACATGTATTTCAAAACAAGACATGCCTAGAAAAATGAATTTAAGAATGTATGTAGTGCACGGGACATTTTTTGCATTTTCTTATTACCTGGCATCACCAGAAACGTACCTTTGGTCGTTAAAAATCTGTAAGTAAATAAGGTGGGCCGCACTTCACTTAACATCATAAGATCAGTGAGCTTTACCTTGAGAGTAAATCAGGAGTGATGCTGATCCCCAATCAGAACCAGTTTAACATACTCTTCTGTTTAATGTACCACTTTAGCCTTTACACTAATTACACTTTTTTGCTGATTACAATGTAGCTAATGTAACTAGCAATGTAAAAAAAAATCCAATCTAAAGGGAACTGAATTCATAGGATTACTGCAGTCCACCTCTGAAAGAATCTTATGACAGCTGAATTAAGCAAGTATGAACAGCTAAACTTTAACTTGATTTCAATTTGTTTGAAAAGAGACTAGAGTTAGTATGCTCTAAAATTAAAAGACTGGCATCTGCAAAATATTCTGTGAGGTGATAATCACTTCATTCTCATGTCTGGCTGAACAGTCCTCACATCTGAAAATACTCCAGGACGTCAGCATCATTGTGACACATACTGTACAATACAGACAACTCATTTCTTCTTCCAGCATGGAAAGTTGTCTCATTGCTATGGTAACATGATCATGGCTTTCATTAAGAATACTACACATATTTCAATAACTGTCACAAACATTAGCTCTGATTATCCGGATAAAGTTCCCGGGCAAGCAGTGAGGGCCTGTGAACACCTATACTGTGTGTAGTACAAGTACTGTACCTTGTTCTTTATCTGCTTGGCTGTGTCTGTGAGGAAGATGGAGGAGTTAGGGTCACTGGCACTCATTTTGGTTTGGGCTCCCTGCAGGGCTGGGAAGAAGGTGGAATGCAGCAGAGCAGGTTTGGGATACCCAATCCGGGGTGCCACATCTCGGGTCATCCTGAAATAGGGGTCCTGTGACCACAGCCCCACAACAAGGATCAGCATCAGTAACACATGCAGCTTCTAGAAAACACACAGCTACTCTAAATAAATGCCAACAGGACTGCCATCCTTGAAAATGAAAGTACAATTACAGACGTTACAAACATGTTTAATAAAACAAAACCTTTTGTTAGGAGCCATGCAGATCTTGTAATGAAAATTAAAGAAATGGTCACCAGCTCTGGCAGAAACACTTCTATTTCTTTAATAACACAAGACTGATTTTTTCCCAAGTTAAATAGTTAAGAAAGTTGTCAATCAGTTGTAGCAAATGGTTGTCTCTTGTTACTTACAGTACCTTTGAAGGTTGCTTTAGTTATACACGTTAATTCAATTTTTCAAAGGAAAACCTAGAGAATTATGTGGTATTTAAACCTCACGGTAAAAATAAGCCATGCAGAATTTCAAATACTGTTGTCTCAGTCTGTCTGTATTAGTTTTATCCCACTCTTAAAATGCAGCCAATGAAAGGGAGCCTTTGTGGGGTAACAAGTAATTCATAGGTAGGTAGAGACATCTGTAGTCCAGACACTGCTGTTTTGAGTCTGGGCTATGTAATTAGCTGTTTGTGACTGCAATTACCCAGGTGATGCTCAATTGGCTAAATATCATCTGTGTGGGCTTGAATCAGCTAGCACTGCAGTTGACCCCTTTTGAGCTCTGGGGTTCCTGTGATGTTACAGTGTCCTCTGTGTGAGAAACATCACTCTTGATGGAGGTGCTAGTTGGGAAATATTGGATAGTTCTGACTGAGAAGATCTCATCCATGCCAAGGTAATATGAGAGTTGTGGTGGGAAAGATTAATAATAAACTCTGTGATCACAAGAGCAGCAAAATAAGATACACCTTACGCATCAATCAAGCAGTTTCCCATGACATTTGGTATTTTCTGTGGCATTCTACAATAATATGAGCAATCGTAGATTACGCTGCACCTAAAAAAACATAACTACACAGGAGGTTATACATTTTAAACAGTGTAATTTAGGGCAAGCTGCTGATTCTGAGGTTTTCTGTTTCTGACCTGATCAATCGCACAGGGGATGAGACACTGTACATCCTTCCTGTTGCTGAAGATGTGTGGGAATGATGTACTAAAAGAGGGAGCAGCCTGAATAGCGGGGAAGCTGATCTTTCCTAGGGACAAAAAAGAAGTATTAGAGGAACCCGTTTCAAGTAAAAGAATCCATATAACACTATTTTCTTGCATATTCACAAATTAACATATTCCAGCGTTTTCTTCCTCTGATCTGCATATCCTTTCTACCCATGTTCTTATCACTGCTGTTTTCATAGTGTAAAGATTATTGGTTTCCAGACACAAATCAATAACATCATGTGAAAACTGGTGTTAGTTGTTTCTCTCAAATATATAATTATCAGTATGATTGCAAAGACACATTTGGAAAGCATGAAAGCATTTTAAAAACTACATCTTTGTAATATTCAGCCTGTCATCTGAAGAGGTCACTTTAAAAAACGAAGCTGTCCTCTCCAATTTTCCTGGTGCAAAAATCACATTACAGTGGGCCCTGCAACAGTAACAGGACCATGCCCAGCCTGCCCCCTGTGCAGTTAACGTCATCATCTGCGATCTACTCTATCAACTATTCTTTAACTACACCCATTTTAGCAAAAACAGAAACTGATTATCAAAAGAAAACTATTTTTTAAACACAGCATGTATGTTAAATTATACTTCTTCCGAGAAAGAGGAGGGGTGCACTGGTAAGTGCTTGGCGAGTCAAATGACGTTTTTAAAAAACATTGATAGCATGCAAGCCTTACTTTTGGGATAACAAGTATAACAGGTCAGAAAAATGTTGTTTTTGTCAGACATGGTTGCTTGGCTTACCGATGCAGTCGCTGTCTGTAAATCCAAAGATTCCTTTTACTTGGTTGAATGTTACATGCTTCTGGATTTTTACCACATTCCTGTAAAAGCCTGGGCTTATTCTGTGGATTAGAAAAATCAAAGGCACACTTTATATGTAGGCAGAATACTGGATTCCAACACAAAACCTAGTAACAACTTGACAGCCAGAAGCAAAATACTGATTTAACTCTGCACTCATGCATTACCAATGCCCTGGGACTCACCCAAGTGTAAATTTGGCATTCACTTTTAGTAAAGCTGAATTTGACACAGTGAAGAGGACAGTTATAAGGGTCAGTAAACAGGGATTTAGGATCTGCCTTGGAGTGGTCACATTTATACAAGGGTATTTATTATTGAACAGTTACCCCTGAATGAGCCTGTGGGTTACAAATCAGCTACTACTCTAGTACAAGCCCTTGTCTAGGGCTTCCAAGTTTTTAAGGGGAGCAACTTTTGAGGGAAGTGAATTTTTTTAATTAAAAAAATATAGTATTTCTTGCAAACAAAAGAACAAATAGTGTACTTGTAAAACAGTGCTTCTCTGCCACATTACAAATGTAGTTATAGTGTTATATCATTCATTCAACGTTGGGAAGCCCGGCTGTGTTTGTACATACAATTAAAAAATGTGTCATGGCACAGCTTTGAAACAGCGCCACCTGGCTTCAGAGCCCGAGATTAGGACCTGGCCATTCAATCACTCTCAGCAGTGCCCTGTTGACCAGTCATACAGTTTGGTCAGTGTCGATCACCACTTGGGAAACAGCTGTCGTGTTGTGCAAGGTGTTGTGATCCCAAAGACACAGCACCTGAGAGAATTTGGATTGTATGAGACTTAACAAAAACTGAGGTTTCAGCAAGCATGTTAAAGGAAAATCGCAAGTACCTATATGATTAAGATTGTGTGTACTGTAGACTTTTACTGTGACAGGTTTCTGATTAATCATAGCCATAATAAACTGTAAGTTCTCTACATAATTCCTTTTTAAGTAAAGTCTTAATGTCAAAGGAGGCTGTTGAGATTTAAGACGCCAATGAATGAAAGGGGTAAACCTTTGGGAACCTCTGGTGTAGTGCAGTTGACATGCTCTGAATTCAGTTTCTGGACAAAGTCTGGACTCTACAAATCTAACTTAGAGAGTGCGTGCTACAGTTACAGCAATGTAACCCAAGAAGCAAAGTAGTTCAGATCTCCTTAAAATTGAGTGGAACTGGAAAGCTGATCATACCCCATGTAGTCCAGGTCAGAGAAGATGAAGGTCTTGTTGATGTCAAAACCGCAGGCAATGATGTCCTTGGCATTCTCCATAGCATACCGATGACACTCCTCCAGGGACAGGTCTTTCCACAGATACTTCTCATCGTCCGTCATCTGAATGACCAGGGGGACATCAAACACGTCCTGCAACCACCTGGGAGAACAGGGAGGGACTGTTATTTTCCTGCTATCTAGATCAGGTCATGTAAATGGAATGTGTAGGCCGTAATAAAAGACGCACTTGCAGATGACAGAAAGGAGTAAAAGAAGGTGAAAGTTAAGCCACAAACTCACTGGTCCAGTGATGGAGAGGCGGACTCACTTTGTGAAGATGAAAGGTATGAGGTGACCCACATGCATGGCCTCAGAGGAGGGACCCCTGCCTGTATACAGGTAAAAGGACTTCTTGTTTTCATAGGCATCCAGGATTTGCTGCATGTCTCTGCAAAATAAAAAACATAATTATAGCCATCATCCCCCCACCTGTCTAGGGAACTGGCCTACTGACAGACTGTGTTCATTCAGGGAGAGACCTTTTCTCACAACAGCCCGTTTTTTCCCAAAACCGGGAAAAAAAATCAAAACAAAAACCATACATCACTCAAGTCAAACCAATGATGTGGTTGAACAGCTTTTAAAAGGAAGACCAACATAATGATAATAAAACATTGAGAGGACAAAGAAAAAGAGGATACAGCTCGAAATAATGCAGATAGGAAAGGGGGTATCTGTTGTCACCTGTGAGAGAAGAAGATGCCCCTGCGAAGGAAGTGATGGGGTCTCTGTCCTGTGACTCTCTCTATCCGATCCACGAGATCCTGGTCAATCTTACTGCTCCCAAACCGCACTGAAACATCATAGGCACAGACTCGTGTCACACACAGCACACAGCTCAACCTCTGGACACTCCAGGGATTCTTGTCTTTACACTGCCTAGATTGCAGCAAAGCTTATTTCGTAGCACAAAATATTAAACCTTCATTGCATTGACATAGCCTGAATGTTCTATATGGCATATTCTTTTTCCAGAATACAACATCAAAACATGAAAACTTCTGATCAAACAGTACTTTAAAGGGAAGGTACTGAGGTGGCTGAGACAGGGGGCTGATGTTAAGTGCATTTTGAACCCAAAAAGTCCAATCTTGCTAGTTTAAAGCTCAAATGTGTCCAGCACCCCCCAGGTTTGGGTACATTACTTAGGGTGCTTCCTGTGTGTCTTGTGCCTTATCATGTAGTGTTACTAATGTAAGATATCCTTTCTCTGATGCTCCGGTTCTTCCTGTGGAGCTGTGGGTTCACAACGTTATAAAGCAAGAGAATGCTTATACAATGGTCATCTCTCCAAAACAAGAGAGGGGCTATGATGTGTCAAGCAGATGAAGAATACATAGAAAGAATAGATGATACTTTATTGTCCACTGCTGTTGAAATTTGTCTTCGGCTTCTCCCACAGAAGTACAAAACACACAAGCAAAACATAATAGTCATATAAAATCTCATGAAATCTCAACAACAGTATGTGATGCATAAATAGATGGATAATTAAAAACGTGGGGGGGATACATTTACATACCTTCATTGAGTTTTATTGCAGAATTTTGGAATTTGAATTTGGTACCCTGTACGCTTTCCTGATGGGAGCATTATGAATTGAGAGTGGAGTGGGTGTGTGGAATCAGCTGGGATGTTCCTTGCCATTTCGAGAACTGTATTATTAGACAAGGCGCAGAGCTGGTGCTACTGTTTCCCAATTATTTTTCCAGCCATTTTCACAATCCTGGACAGTTTAGTTTTCAACCCCAGGTTTCTATACCAAACTGTATAAAGCCTGGATGATAAAAGCCAGGATGCTCTCAACAAGGCTTTTATATGCCATCTCTAGGACAGTTTGACTAACATCAAAGTTTTTGAGTTTTTTCATTAAAAACAGCCTCTGATTTGCTTTCTTAAAAGTGTAGTCTATATTCTCAGTGTAACTCAGCCTCAATACGTGTTCTCAGATATTTAAAACTCTCCACAACCTCTGCAGACTGACCATTGAGTACTATTGTCTGTAAAGATTGCCCTCCATCAGTGTTAGCATTGAAAAGAAGCTTCAAAAGAATGACCAATTCTACACTAGGGTAGATGAAGTCCACCCCCCACACCCAAAAAACACATTTTTTTCTTTTGACTCAATTGGAAATGTTCTCTTTCATTCAGTGGAAAAAGAGAGAGAGAAACCGTATAATTAAATTCAACTTCCTCCAAGTGTACAGCTGTTTGTGAAGGCTGATTGAAGGCGCAGCAGCTCACACATGTTCCTGTGCTTTAGTAGAGCTGAGTGTCTCACCAATCAGTTTGTCGTAATCCACCCCTTTTGCGCTCGAGGTGGACACGTTCCAGGGGTCCACCACGTCCTCGCCTTCGCCTTCGCCCTCGCCCTCGCCAGGTGAGGGCCCGTTGTCTTGTGGGGCGGGAGCATCGCTGGGTGGGCAGCCGGCTTTGTAGTCCTGCCCTGTAACTGTCTTATAGTCTCCTTTCAGCTGCAACAGCTGCTTCACTGCAGCTTCAATATCCGCCTAACAAAACAAAGCAAAGAGCAACTTTACTGCTGTCCCAGTGGAAGTGAACACCTGAAAATGGTTTTCCTTCCTTTCATAAAAACATAACATCACTTTATTAGTCCTATACAATTTCTTGCATTAGGAATTCATCTTTTCACATACCCCGGCTTGCTCTCCATGAGACACAGACACACACACACACAGGGAGAGAAGCTTGGGGTTAGAGCGCAGGGTCAGCCATTGGAGCAGTTGGGGTTAAGGGCCTTGCTCAGGGGCCCAACGGAGTAGGATTCCTCTGGCGGCCGCAGGATTTGAACCGGCAACCTTCCAGCCACAGGTGCAGATCCTTAGCCACAGAGCCACCGCTCCGCCCTGGGTCCAATATCTTTGAAGATGCCCACTTAAAAAAAGTCTGAAAACTTTAATTTGGAAAAATGATTAAGATGTTGTCCTGACTAGGGTGCACCCGGCTCTGCACCTGTTGCTTGCTGGGATAGGCTCTGGCTCCTGCAACAAACCCGGATTAGAAAAAGCTGTTGGAAAATAGATGGATGGATAAATCACAATCACAAAATCTGTTTTTGAATAATCTATCCTTGAATTCGGAGTACCAAACAATGCTGGTAAAATGAGTTATCTGTACCTTAGGAGCTTTCTCTGCTTTCAGGGATCTGACTTTCTCTCCCTGTGCTGTCACCTTCTCATACAGCTCTACTGGAGTCCTTCCTGCTGGGCCATCTGTCTGACTGTCTGTCATTTCCAGAATCCGACTTAGTCCACAGTCGCACCTTTTGACAATACACACACAACTTTAAGAACATAGAAGTTAAACTATAACAGCCACAGCCACTCTAAAAGCTTTCGTTCTGAATCCTACATTTTTTGATACACATTATTTTATGACTGTAAATTTACACACTATAGTCTCCATCATTTGCAGTTGTAGCCGATTTGGAAGAGTGCCAATCATAGCTCTACTGTGCTATGATTCTAGGGAACGACAAGAAATCAGGCAGTATCAGCTGTCACCATGCCTTTTTATGGTAAAAGCAGGCACCTTAAAAAGCATCTACAGGCCATAACATACTTAAGACTGATCAATTAGCCAACAGAGAGAATGTCAACATTTTCATGAAGACTAAGGATGGCTGTATTCTGGTAATGAAATATTTCATAGTTTCACATACAGGTTGTCAGATTCCACATATGCTAGTATTTCTGACCCCTCGCCTGGTGTCGAAAAGTAGGCATGCCATCAACGCAGGACAGCAAGATAAGCAAACGTTTCAGATTCCACATGTCATACTTATTGTTCGACATATTAAACTGCCGTTTTTATCCGACTGTGTTTTCAGAATTAACTTACCGCAGAGAACTGTTTTTAGCGACCGGTTTCAAGTCCACTCATTCAAATTGCATCAGAAGGGACGAGCAACCAGCTAAACTGTCTTCCAGGAAACAAACCTTCTTTGAAAAAGAAAAGATGACGTGAATCAAATATGACAAAGCCCATGCTATTCATAGTTAAATCAGATAAATCCATTTAGATTTTTTATTAATAAAACATACATTTTATAGACTTGACACCCTTTTTAAAATCTATACTGCGAGAACTAGCAGGTGGGTATCTCTTGTTCCGGGGAAATGTTGCAGAGTTTCTGGTAGAGCACATAAACCCGGCTGAACCAGGAAGTGAAGTTACGTGTGGTTGAGTGATTCGAGCGTGCAGCATCTCCGGTTAGTCCAAATTTCAGTCTCATAAGAGCATGTAGGTACTGTATGATTGACACGACTAATTTATTGTTTTCACTCACTTAAATGTAAAGTTCCAGTGGCTTAGTTTATTATATTTTTAAAAACTTTTCTTTCAAACAATTTATGTATTGGAAACATTTTCCATTTTTTTTAGAGTTTCTGCAATGTTCAATGTTTCATGAGTTGAAAACACAAACATGCGCAAGTGGAGACCAGAATCCATAATAATTTTAAAACAAGACCTCCTTCATGCATTGAATAATTTGAAGATTTGCTCCTGAGTACTTGAAGCAGCTGAACAGAATGTACAATAATTAGGCACAGGCACATTCATTTAAATATTATTGGCTAAGTGATGGTATATCGGCCGCGTAATATAGACGATCTGTGGGCAGACTTCATTTAAAATGTCTCTGATGTAGTATATTAAATATAGCAATACAAAACATTTGATTTCACAACATTTGATTTTTCACTGGCAGCAGCAGGAATGTCATATTGAAAAAATGCAGCAGATGGCGGTCGTGCTATATGTACAGCAAATCTTAAGAGTGAACAGGAGATAGAGGTTTCGTTTTTAGTTTTTGAATGTAATACTAATACAACCTCTTTCGTCCCAGTCGCAAAATATGAGCTATCAAACTTCAAAGTTAGCTTTAACGATGTGTGCCCATTGTAATAAACTCTGTAACCGTTCTGTGATCTCTACAGAAATTCAGGAGGACCTGCAGTGGTTGCCACACTATTTTGTATTTAATGCTACTTTTTTTTATTTTCAGAGCTCTGTGCTTAGCAGCTGTGACAGGATAAGAAGATTTACGTTTAATTTCCACATGGCCTCTGAACATCTGCAGCCCCTACCTTTTGCACTGAGCCTGTCGACTGGTTATTCCAGGAGAGTTTAGTGGCATGCTGGTGAACAGCCTACTTGTGCAGGCTGTGTTCTGCAACTTAAGTAAAGAGAGAGGGGCACCTTTCATCCACCTCAGTAGGGGGCTATGAGTTCCCTTGTAGCATACGAAGATTCTGACAGTGACGATGACTTGACACAGGCTGCGCTCCCTAAAAGTGCAAGTGTGGATTCCCAGCTGCCCTGTGCTTCTCACTTTGCAAAGATGGACGTCAAGGCAGTAAGTCATGGAGACGCTTTTTGTTCAGCATCCGCCCTCCAGCCTAGAGGGACAGAAATACCACACAGGGACCTCCCTCCTGACTGGCCCCAGGAGATCAGTTCTACCCCCTGGGCTGCTCCAGTGGGTTTGAAAAGCAGCACTCAGGGATTGCAGTCCTCCGCTCTGCTGTCTCGGGGCTTGGGGGACGCGATTGCTCGGAAGAGGCCTCAGGTTGCAGTGGGAGCCGTGAAGCCATACGTGCCCAAGAGGCAGAGGATGGGACAGATGCCTGAGCATGACACAGAGACAGCCCTACAGACTGAGATTCCTGCAGCAGGGGCCACAGACTCCAAGCTGCTCACTGAGGTGTCTGATAGCGTCCGGCCGTATCTGGGACGAAAGACTGGCAGAACAGAACTCCCGAGACATGCCCGGCTCCATATCCAGGCTCATCAGGGACCTGTGAACAATGTGCAGTGGTGCCCAGTACCACAGTTCAGTCACCTCCTGCTGTCTGCCTCCATGGACAAAACTGTGAAGGTAACCTTTTCACCTGAGGTCCTCGGGTAGTTATTAGGCCTGACTCCAGAGCTATTAGAGCTGTTGAATCCACACAACGACATTGTTTGAAAATGTCAACTCAGTGATTACGCTGTAGTGAATGCCTGTACAGGCAATAAGCTCCCTGATTATTGCTTTGAAACCTTTGGTGAACCGGAGTGCGACACTTATCAAACATTGTACAGAAATAAGAAAAATCAATCCATGATCTGCTACTAAGAACCACTGCTATTGTTATTTATATGTGTATACAGACAATATAATACAATTACTATTATTAATAAGATATTATAATCATTAGTAGAACATAAGCTCATCTTCAACACGCTCATCAATGTCATGGCTTTTTGGGAATACCCAATAAAGTTTAAAAAAGCCTGAAAGATTGACCTATAATGCTCAAAATATCGTTAAGACGACAAGCAAAATATATTTTTCATGTTTCCGTATGTCTCTTGTGCTTCATTTTCTACTCTAAGGAATGTGGCAGCCACATTGCAGCTTGTCAGAGTAAAATACATTATTCATATTGAAAAGGTTAAGTGATGCATGCATAGATAAATAGAATACTTTTGTCTTGATTGACGGTTGATGATTGTAACTTTAAAATGTTGTCGAACACTGCACTTGTAAAATGGAGAGCGGGTGCTGATTAATGAAACATCTAAAATTCATGATCAGGCTCCTTGTTAAAACAGGAATGGAAATGCATCAGCTCCAGCTAATTCAAGGTTGTAGAGCTTGTAGAGCAGATGGTGGAGATGGCACTGTGTTGTTGCCCTGATTCCCTTTAGCTGTTGTGGCAACAACATGTATGATTAATTCAATTGATTATACAGCCTTCTAAAACTGCATAGAAACCTACAGACCTAAGCCTGAACTACATGAAACATCAAGCTGTTTATTACACTGTATTGTGCCCCACAGAAATATAAAACCAAATGAATACTTTCTAGTCCGAATAAAGCAGACAATAAGTTTGTAATAAATCCATAAGGGCATAATCAAAATAACTGTGGTTGTACACTAAGGCAGCGGTGGCCAGCTGGGGTCTTCAAGAACTACATATTTCTGATTTCCACTCCATCTGAGCCCTCAGTGAATTAATTTAATAGTGTAGCAGCCTGGCAGTTTCCTACTGAGGCAACACAGATGTTTCTCTAAGGACTTGGCATTTCAGGGGCTCCCAGGCTTTTATTGCAGGTGCCGTGTGGATAATGTCAAATATTAATGCCAGTAATAGTGGCTGATGCTGCCAGACAGCCATTGTAGCTGCCATCTTTGTTGTTTTTAATATAATAGCAAAGCACATGCATTGTGTATTTTACTATTAAACATGAAATGGCACATTTAAATGCCATTGCAATAAATTACACACCCATGGTGCTGTCAGATAGTCCAGAGTACTTCATGGCTTCATGACTTCAAGAATTTAAGGAATTCTCCACTAAGATGTATTAAGGCTAGTTAAAACCACCCATGAAATTTATTACTTTTTAAAGCAAGTCAATGACAATTTCTAGATGTGTGATTTCTGCCTTAATCATCTGTATCTGGCGTGTTACTGGCTTTGTTGATCCATGGTGACACTCCTGAACCTCAGGTTAACACATGCAGATGTGTAATTTAGCATTCGATAGTGTTTTGATACTACTCCTTTGATTTGTGTAGCGAAGGCATTTCATTGTAAAGCGTGGCGACAGAGGAAAAGTAATGAGTTGATCAAGTGTGAAATGTCAATAGGTGGACTACAGAGGAGAATTAACATCTTTTGCGGTGCAGCATCTCAAGGCCGATAAAGCACAACTCCCTCTCAGAATCCCTGGAGTTGCTACAAGGCTTAATGAGCGGGGGATGTTCTTGTTGCTTCAAGTGTTTTACTGTGGCTGCCCTTGGTAAATAATAGCAGGCACATGGAAAATGTGCTGTAAAAGACACCCATTCTGCTTTTAAATATTTTAGATCATTAAGTAGATGAAGTGTCCTGTTTGCTCTTTGAATGTCGCATGCATTTACCATCCTTTTGTCTCATGGACCTCTTGTTTGAAGGAGAGTGTAATCTATTATGTTTAGAGTTTGAACTTTGGCAGTTTGTATATTTTCTTGATTTCCCCTTGTATTTAATTCTTTCACAGGACTGGATTTTGTCCATGACATGCATTCATGTTCGCTCTGTAACAGTTTTTTTCTACTCCTTTAGAAAGCCCTTTTACATCCCCGAGATACTAGGTCAGTAATTAGATAAAGGTTAACTGACCTTCTGTTAGGTTACAGTATTTAATAAGAGCTCTAGAGATTGAGCTTCAAAGCTGTAATTAAAGCCCTGTATGACAGATCGCTTTACATTGTATCTCTCTCCTCCCATTTACAGCCTTTTTAATTAAATACAGTGCTTTGAAGCCATAGCAGATTTTAATAAAGTAAAAAGTCAACCCCCGCTTTCCTCTGAGTATTGATTTGGAAATTAGCTTCACTATATTCTCACAGAAAAGGCATGAAAATTTAACTTGGAATAGTACAATACATCTGCACATCTTCTTGAGTGCTGAGCTTTGTGGCATACAGTAGCATCATCAAGTTAATATGTTGTAAGTACAGCTACAGTTAACTCACATAGGAGAACATACTGTTGTTCTGTTGATGATTTTTATTGCATTCTTCATCAGACTTTTAGTTTTTTGTGTGGATAGATGATTGCTTTATTTCTGACAATCCTTAAGTTTGAGATGGTTTCTTCTTTGGAATTCAAAGGAAATTCCTCAATTTTTGCAATTAAAATTTTTTTATCATCACTGTCATCATGAGTTAATCTTAAACAGCATCAGGAAGAAGGGAATAAGAAAAGAATAGGTGTTAAAGTCCTGGAAAGGTTACAGGTATGGAGAATACATGTTTTTCCCCTCAAAAGCCACCCAATTCTTGTTTTTTTTGCATGAAATACAGATTATCAAACTTAACGCATCACTGATTCTCAGAATCCTCACTCATGTCTGTAGGGTTGCTGTGAATGAAGATTGAGTAGTTGGTTTCTCATAGACTGGCTGTCAAGTTTTTTTTCCCCTATTTTCAGCAAAGGCAGTTATTGTTGTTCTGCTTTCAAAAACCAGTATGATCATTGAGAAGGATGGCTTTAGGTTTTACAGGCCAAGGACACAATACCTTTGTTTTCCATTTCTGCTCAACCCTGGGGTTTGTACATGCTATACTACTCCTGTCCTTATCTATCACACACCTCATGTGAGTTGACTGCTTTCACATCCAAATAGCTAGAATCCTCACAACCAGTTTTTTCTTCTGATGCTGCCCTGAAAGGATAAATTCATCCCTGCAATCTAATGGAGGATCTGAATTTTTATTTTATTTTAGATCCTATGCGTTCTGTATTCAGAAATGTGAAATTCACAGCCTCTAAATTTTAAGAACTTGTATTGAGGAATTGTATGCGTCTTCTGTTTGGTAACAGCTCTCATCAACCTGTCTGAAGTATTGTACAGCAAATCCGGAAGAGCAAGGGAAGAGTGTCCAGTAGTATTTGTGTGATGTCTTTTGATGACTGTGGAAATGGATACTTAAACAGAAAGCTAAAGATTGTTCCCCACATCCTTCAGTCTTTATGACTTTATGTATGCTGTCTTTCAGAAAGTGTTCTGAGAGCAGATTGTGCTGGAAGGAGATCAGCAAGTCTCATTTCAAAGAAAGCCGAAGGTTATCTGTTTTTTTTTGTCTGATAATGTAACATATCTTCTTTTTTTATGTCCTTTACGCTTGGAGAAATGGCTCATTTTCCAGATCTGCTGACCTGTCCAAGTTAATCAGCTCTGAAAGACTCTTCATCTATTTTTGGGAGTGTTTTTCCTGTCCGTCATGATCTGCCTCACACGCAATGGATGATACGATGAAATGGTTCTAAACAGGATGAGGTGCCCTCTCTATAGCACTGCATCAACAACACACACAGCAAAAGAAACACAGAGATGTCTAAAGGCACTCAGTTTCAATAAATATACTCAGCATGTGAAAGACAGTTTCCATTTTCTGTAGTGGTGTTTATCGTACCTACAAGTTCCAGTTCGTTTCACAGTAACCCATCTGAAGAGTCATGAAAGTCTGGCATGGTCAGCTGTAATGAATTTTATTGCTTTTCAGTGTTCATTTCTGTGCTCGGGGGGGCTATGTGTTTCTGAAATAAGTGTGAAATGCTCCTTGTAGTTGCTTTACATGAAGCCTCAACTGTGCTACCAATTTTTTTTAATGTGTTCAGAGGTGTCATCTTACTGAGATTAGATAGACCTTAGTACTGCAAACCTGATGTCCTGTGTACTTGGCATGGAGTTAAATTTTCCAGATGTAGATTGCAAAATAATTTATATTTCTCTTAGGAAGGGAAAATCAGTAAATAAAAACAGGTGGAACAGACATGTTTTTGGTTGTAAAGCTGTAGTCCAACAGAGGTCAGTACAACCCAATGTGTTAAATGATTTTAGTGTTAGTGAAGAGTAGTTTAGGCTTAGTACACGAGTCTGTTAACGTGAGATTTCATCAGTCACCCTGTAATAAAAAGCTGTTGTTGTGTCTAAAATGATTCACTCGGATCTGGGAGTGCTAAATTACTGAGTTCTAGAAAATATTCTCTGTCTTGTTCAGGAGGAAAATCAGTTTCTTTTTTACAAAGTGCACATCTTTGGAATATTCTGAAACAATGTTTTTGTATTTGTTTTCTCTTTTGTGAGTACATTCCATGAAACACAAGAGTTGGTGAATTAAGAAAAAGGTGTCTTAAGAGTCATGCTTCATTAAAACCTCACTAGGCTCAAACTGTCACTCACATCCACCCAAGTGAGCCTAGCGCAAAACACTACCTGTGCATATTTATGCTGTTATCCAGTCACAATAGCATTTTGTTAGGAGACTTTGTGTAATTAAAGCAGGTTATAGGGACCCACAGGAAAACAAGAGTGACTGCTGTTAACAAAAATGAT